AAACTCAGACTGCAGCAGTTTCCACCCAGAGAAAGTTGTCCATCGCTGATGTGACGCCAAACTCCTGTGACAACAACATGGCAGCCAGGCTGAAAACAAATCAAGAGATACACTTTCTGTAGACGGTCTTTTTTTGAAAGAAAGGAGTTTAGAACAGTCCTCCCAATATGTTCTCTCTTCAACAACATATGGTATCTTGCTGACTCACTACACTGAAACAAAATCAGCTGTGTTTCACAAAAACATTTACACCTGCAGCCTCTCTCCACCACAAGCTTTTGCTGAAACGTCATCTTGGCGTGAGAAAGACAAATGAGAGAGGAAGAGACACATTAATGGAGTTAATAACCAAGATACTGAGGCCATATGGAGATATGGCCATATCATACCAATATATATTATGTTAACATTTATGCAACAATATTTTGGTGTAGCATAAAATGAGAGCAAACAGAGTGCAGAGTTTAAGTGGCCAAATGGTCCATTTTCTTGAGGGTTGTGGGGGCCAATTTAGAGTCACCAATTAACCTATGCCCAATCTGCATGTCTTTGGACTGTGGGAGGAAGCCAGAGTGCTCGGAGAAAACCCACGCTGACACAGGGGAGAACGTGCACACTCTGCACAGAAGGGCTCCCTCCTGGGATTGAACCAGGAACCCTCTTGCCACCTGTGCTAACAGTGCTAACCACTGTGCTGCCCTGAGGTTAAATTAAAAGTGAAAACAAGACATGATAGAACATTTAAAAACAAACAAACTAGAAAACCATTTAAACTGTCAAATAATATCAGGAAGTGTAGTTTGGAATAATCAGTGTTTATCGCTGAGATCAGTTTATTTACAGATGACAAACCGTTTTAACCTGAGCAAGTTCAGTCTGCTGATGAAGTCCATGTGTTATGGTAGAAAGCTCTGGGGACAGACTTTTCTTTATCTAAGAGGAAAAGCTATAAATAATGACTTCAGTGTCATTGTAGCACAGGTTATCACTATGGAGTATTGCCTAAATGCCAGATCATATTTCTGTCATGCTCAAAGTTTGTATCATTTGTCCTCATAATATGATCGGCAATGCACTTTAGGCAACTCAAAACCATGTGAATTACAGGAAATCACTGCAGCGATTTCAAAGAGGAAATCCAGTAGATTATCTGTTGGAATAGTCACCATGGTTTAATGTGTTAACAGAGCTGTGCTTGTTGCCAACATTTAGTTCCATATTCATATAATATTAAATTGAACAAAGAGATCGGAGGGTGAGAGGAGGTATGACATTAACCTGTGGAATTCCAGCAGGAAGTTGTGGGTTTTGTTTTTAGAGTTCAGTAACCCAGCAGTCAAACACACAAGCGTCAGAAAAAAAAATGTTTTCCTTATAATTCTGTTAATTGTGCATGGCTGCATGTGTCACGTCCTCAGAGCAGTCCATTTGATCATCCATTGCCACTATTTTTTAACACAAATAACCCAGCAGGGTGGGGGGTCGGGGGTGCAAGGCTGACACCCAGAACTTGCAACATACATTAAATCTCATACATCCTTTTAAACAAGGCCTCACAACTGAGAGCAAGCTAGCCCTGGACGAGTGTCCCAGTGGTCTTCCAGGCCCTTATCTAAGTCTTTTATTGGGCAGGCTGCCTGTTCTGTGTCCAGCAAGTCTAAGTATTCCTCCAGCCATGAACCCCCAGAGAATCAGGCTGGTTTATGCTCTGTCCAGTTAAATCATCATCCATTTCCACTTAGTTCAAAGTGCTGAAAGCAGAATATGACAAAAGGAGCTCTTGCACAACCGGTCTTCTGTTGACAAAACGATAAGCACGTGTACTTAATCTCATTCTGAATAGGGCAGGTTGCAGGACTGCATGAGGACAATGAGACGAAAATCCTGATCTGTTTAATAAACCATAAAATTGCTCTCTCTTTTTTGGTTATAACTGCTGGCTCACTTTGGATTTGATTCATCAGTGCACATGAGTGCGTACAGGCTGCAGCAACTCAAGGGTCAGATTGTGCCTGAATACAAGGTAAGCACAAAACTTAAAGGTATATAAAACAACAGAAGATTTTTTATTCAACAGTCCAAATGTTAAGTGATGGAGCATCATATATTTATTATGTTTGATCACTGAAATAAACATAAAAACATCTGATTTAATACTTGTGTGTAAAATATTATATCCAGGGTTTCTATTTATTAGTTAGATTTTAGCACCCTGTACTGTATCTACAGAGGTCTTGATATGTCCTTTTATTCAACTATCTTGAGAATTTTTACTTAATAAATCACAACTTACAATTTGACATTTACGAGCCACAGCAAGGTAGCAGGAGCTGGTATTGTGTCTCATCATGGCAAAATGGGGTCCTGGTGACAGTTGTACCCACCACAGAAGCCATTTTGAATATTTTGCCAGCTGACTGTCTGTGGAAAGATTTTGTCATCACAATAACATTGCAATCATGCACAATGGAGTCACAAAACTTGACAGGTGTGTTATTGAGATCAAAATGAAGACTGAATTTGAAGATAGCCATGGTCTGACAAGGGAGCCAGAAGTAAGAATTAGAAAAGAGGCCTCCGGCACCCCAGTTTTTACATCCCTGGCTCTGGGAAATTTACAGGTGTGTAGTCAAGATCATACTGAAGGCTGAGTTCAAAGATGGGCGTGGTCTGCGCAAGGGCGTTGAAAGGTGGGAAGGGAATCAGAAATCAGTTTTAAAATTCATGCACACAGCCAAATACTCCTGTAGGGCAAATTTGAATTTAGTTTTTGACATGGTCATTGTCTAAAAACTTTAATAAAGCTGTCCTCTGCGCATTTAAGATGGGTGTCAAATGCGTTATCTTGTCAGTTTGGAATAAACCGCCAAAGATAATTCAAAATACAGTGAACTCAATGTTGCTTTAAGGAAAATAAAAGCAACATAGGCCTGTATGTTTTTGCCAGTTGTCAGAGAAGTATTTGTGTTTCAATGCTGGACTCTAATGTGATTTCTCTAGATTTAAACAGATCCATTTAAAGTCTTACTTCCTTGCTATGCAGATCACAGCAATGGCAGGCTCACCTAGTCCTCTGACCACCCACGTGCTGAACACTGCGATGGGCGTCCCTGGCTCGAACATTGCCATCTGTCTGTACCGACAAGACCCCTCCAATAATGCCTGGAGTTTGATAACCGTTGGGTAAAGACCTGAGGGCAACAGCCATAAAATACCACACACATAGTCACAAAGTATGATCACAGGAAAATCTCAGATATTACAACTGGACAACTCTCTCCAATCACATTTTATCTCTACAGGGCAACTAATGCTGACGGACGCTGCCCAGGACTCATCACAAAACAGTTGTTTACTTCTGGTGTGTATAAAATGTGTTTTGAGACTGGTCAGTACTGGAAGAATATGGGAGAGACCTGCTTTTACCCATATGTTGAGGTGAGGAAATTCTGTGTTGGCATGTCAAATGGTGCTTTGCTTGCTTGTGGTGTAACTGTAGTTTCGCAACTAGATCAGTGAACTTATATCCTCATTTAACCAGTCGTATGCATGTGATGCTTACTTTTAATTGTTGACCTCTCTCATGTTTGGTGTTCTGTTGCAGATTGTCTTCACTATTAATGACCCCGGCCAAAAGTACCATGTCCCTCTGCTCCTGAGTCGTTTCTCTTATAGTACATATAGAGGAAGCTAGGGGTCAAGTGTGATGACCATCCTAAGGCTACCTCCATCTATCAGCTGTCATACACATCACAAGCAGAGGCAGCACCACCAAGAATATTTATACCAGCACCAGCCAAACAGTCACAACTGCTGACAACACACAATGCTCCGTCTGAATGATTCCTCCATTTGAATAAAGATGTTCTAATCAATATTTTTTTTTGTAATTAAACAAACCATATTACTAATATACGAATATTGCTATTATGCTACCATGATATTTAACAGATTTAAAACAGTTATCATGACATGCAATTTCTTAATGAACCTATTAAATAAAGTGTTTTTTTGTCAAATGTTTCTTTTGTTTCATTGCCAAGATCCAAATGGATCAGTGGCCACTCATAAGGGAAGTGAAATAGAGGTTGTTATCTGTTATAAATATCTGGGTATTTTGATTGATGATTACATTTTAAGCCACATGTGCAGTACCTGGTGAAAAAGCTACGCTAAAACTGGGTTTTTATTTTCGAAATAAGTTGTGTTTTTCTTTTGATATATAAAGAGACTTTATGATCATCCGCTCTGGCTACCCATGCTCTGTCATTGGTACACTTTTGGCCTGCTCCCATACTACTTATGTGTCTTTATCCACAGAAAAGTGTCAGACAATACTCTTGGCATTCTCAAGACTTCATTTTTCTTTCCTTTTTAAATGCCCATAAGGAAATTGGGAAAGGGGCAATTATGTATTCTGCACCCTTGGCGTGGAAAAATGTTGAAGGATGACTTGAAACTTCAAATATTAATCTTGTTAAATACTTTTAAATCCAGAGGGTAAGAACTAGGTAGATTGCTTAAGATGTTGATGTTTTTAATTTACCTGGTTAGAAAATAAGCTCCTTTAAACTTCTCCTCTGAGTTTTGAGTTCCTTTTGCTTTACTTAATTTTCATTTTGTGTCAAATCTGCTTGCCCTTTTTCAGTCTCTGTATTTTATACTACATTAAATGGACTAAAATTTGCATTATGTATAAATACCATTAAGTAAAGTCTATACACTCTTCTTATAAAGAAGACTTTAAAAGCCCTGCCAATTCATGCTGCACTTGAGCCATCTTCATCCATAACAGCATTACTGTCTCACAATATTGAATATTATCAAAATAAATTGGTCTATAATACTATAAATCATACAGCTAAAATACAGCGAACTGCAACATTTATTTTAAACATTGCCACAAATCCATAAATCTGCCTGCAGTATGGGTACAGTATGCTCACAAACTCCTTTTCATATGCGATCCTTGAATCTGTGCTCGATTGCTTCACCCTGAGTGTTGGATCGGATGTTGATTACAGTCCCCTGGACTAGGTAGGGCCTTACCTCTGATGGGAGTTTAGGGTACATTTTATTACGTTACCTCAACACTTCTCAGCCTTCTAGGTCCACGATACTGTTGTAAACCATGGCGGACGACGAATTAGAAGCAATTAGGCAGCAAAGGATGGCAGAGCTTCAGGCAAAGCACGGGGTAAGCACAAAACACGAGCACGGAAGCGTGTTTGCGCCCGCCTTATAAGGAGATGCTGAGTTCAGTAATGGTGCTGCTAAAGTTAGCTAACGTTAGTGTGGCTAAACCAGTCACCACAACTCAACTCATTTAACTGTACCGTAACTGTCTTAACTCGGGGGATATACACAGCCAACGTATGAGAGCAACGCTAGCTGTAATAAACTCTGTAGTGTGTTATAAATCACAGTAACCAGCATCATCTCACTGACACTGCTAGCTTGGTATTGACAAGACAGCGCACACCCCTCTGACAATGATAGTGTTAGCTGAGCAACACTGAGCAACGAGTTATAAAAAATGAACCTATGTTAACCCTCCTGCTGTGTCTATTTAATATAAATTAATCATCAATCAAAATTAAGTGTTCCCTGTTTAAAATGGCCGTCCCATTATAGCTGATCACACATCCTTAATAATACATACTGTAACGTTATCACCTAATGTTGTGTCAGATCTTTAGTCAATTTAAGTTATTGTGAGCATAACAAGTTTGAACTTATATTTGATATTTATGGCACGTATGGGTGCATTGACCTAATCAGCTTGTTTTTTAGCTATAAAACAAAACATAATCTATTACTTCATATTGATTATACAAATACTCAGATGAAACACATTGTACTATTTATCAGACTACTTTGCATCAAAGCTTAACATGGACACAAAATATCTCTTAAATTATCTTTTGTATGATTTTATTAGTAAAGCAAGGACAAAAGCCCAAAACTATAAAAACGTTACTGTATTACAAAATTATTGTCTGAATACCAACAATAACAGTATTCTACAGTTATTGACACTTTTTCTTCTAAATCTATCTTTATTGTCAATTTCCTGATCTGCCCTGCCTCCTCCTCACTATTGTCATGATGACAGATATGGTCAAGAGTCGTACATATGGTATATCACTTGGTTATTGTGCTGCCACAGAAACAATTGTTTGCAAGGCCTCAAAAAAGTTATCTACTGTAGCTGCCAGAAAAGTTCCATCTGTCATGAGCATGACTTAAACAATGTTGAATGGGCATTTTCTGAACTTTTATACAGTAATTGTAGTCAATGACAGGGAACACACAGGTATACAAAAGTTAAACCCTAAGAAACAGAGAAAACTTGTAATTTTGTCTAATTAGAGCTGAACACAATAGGAGGGTGAGAAGAAGAAGAATGAAGAATGTTTCTGGACAAGTATAGAAGAATACAGTCAACTGGTGAGCTTAGTTGGAGTGGTAGGACAGTTTCATTAACGTAAGTGTATCTTTACTAGCCACATAATATACTGAAACATTAATAAACAGTAAAAGGTAACAACTTTGTTTTATGACTGTAATAAATATAGGCCTGTATTTTAATTATAACAGCCATGATGTGGTGGCATCTTGTATGAATAATTAAAATGCAGGTTTAAAATGCAGATTTTAGTTAATGCTGTCAGGTTTCAGCTGAATGAACACAGTGAATCTTACATAGAGCCCAACTGATAAATGGGCTGGGCGAATATTTAGAAAGCTTGTAACTACTCAAAGATAAATTGTATCTGTGTAATTTTTGCCAGATAAATAACAAAACATTACAGTACAGAAAGGCTAAAGATGTATTTAAAGTAATTTTGAAACAGTGTCCTGGCTACATAATTTGCCCTCCAGAGAGTGCTGAAGTTTATTTTTCAAATTTAAAATGTCCTACTCAGTGACAGTCGCCAACAATCCACCAACCTCTGCCAAGATGGGGACAGACATTCAATGTCTGACTAAAGTAATATCTAAAAATGGGGAGTAAAAAACAGAAATTCAAATAATATGAAGAATTGGTAAACATTTTTTTAGAAAGCAGATAAGACAGACAGGTAATGTACAAGGTTTCCTGGACACCTAAATAAATCACATCATAAAATTGAAAGGTTGTTTGACTTGGTTCAAGGTGTAAACATAAACAGATTAAAATGTAAAACAAGAAAAACAATACTGCAAGTTATGATACCCATCAAGATTAAGATATATAGCTAATTCTTGTACATCGTTATAGACACGATTGCTAATGAACTTTCTGATGCAAAGTGGATGGATCCTGGTGATGTTATTTTTTTAACTATACATGAGTCACTTGGCTCCAACTGCGCTCATTGTCTTGAACCATACAGACCTGGTTTTTATGATGAGTATTATCTTGATACTGGTACATTGTAGATTCTGGTCTTCAATCAAATGTCAGATCTTTAGCCAAATATTTTGTTCCACTTTGAAAGGTGAAACTTTGCTTTAAAAAAAAAGCTAAGTTTTAATAAATTAACCAAGCAGCATGGGGAAATATATTTTGACAGTTATTAAAGTTGTTTGTGAGGCCATTACCAAAGTTGTGGGAATATTGGGCTGGTATGAATAAGAAGAATAAGAAATACAACCTACAGTACAGGCCAAAAGTTTGGACACACCTTCTCATTCAATGCGTTTTCTTTATTTTCATGACTATTTACATTGTAGATTCTCACTGAAGACATCAAAACTATGAATGAACACGTGGAGTTATGTACTTAACAAAAAAAGGTGAAATAACTGAAAACATGTTTTATATTCTAGTTTCTTCAAAATAGCCACCCTTTGCTCTGATTACTGCTTTGCACACTCTTGGCATTCTCTTGATGAGCTTCAAGAGGTAGTCACCTGAAATGGTTTTCCAACAGGCTTGAAGGAGTTCCCAGAGGTGTTTAGCACTTGTTGGCCCCTTTGCCTTCACTCTGCGGTCCAGCTCACCCCAAACCATCTCGATTGGGTTCAGGTCCGGTGACTGTGGAGGCCAGGTCATCTCGCAGCACTCCATCACTCTCCTTCTTGGTCAAATAGCCCTTACACAGCCTGGAGGTGTGTTTGGGGTCATTGTCCTGTTGAAAAATAAATGATCGTCCAACTAAACGCAAACCGGATGGGATGGCATGTCGCTGCAGGATGCTGTGGTAGCCATGCTGGTTCAGTGTGCCTTCAATTTTGAATAAATCCCCAACAGTGTCACCAGCAAAACACCCCCACACCATCACACCTCCTCCTCCATGCTTCACAGTGGGAACCAGGCATGTGGAATCCATCCGTTCACCTTTTCTGCGTCTCACAAAGACACGGCGGTTGGAACCAAAGATCTCAAATTTGGACTCATCAGACCAAAGCACAGATTTCCACTGGTCTAATGTCCATTCCTTGTGTTTCTTGGCCCAAACAAATCTCTTCTGCTTGTTGCCTCTCCTTAGCAGTGGTTTCCTAGCAGCTATTTGACCATGAAGGCCTGATTGGCGCAGTCTCCTCTTAACAGTTGTTCTAGAGATGGGTCTGCTGCTAGAACTCTGTGTGGCATTCATCTGGTCTCTGATCTGAGCTGCTGTTAACTTGCGATTTCTGAGGCTGGTGACTCGGATGAACTTATCCTCAGAAGCAGAGGTGACTCTTGGTCTTCCTTTCCTGGGTCGGTCCTCATGTGTGCCAGTTTCGTTGTAGCGCTTGATGGTTTTTGCGACTCCACTTGGGGACACATTTAAAGTTTTTGTAATTTTCCGGACTGACTGACCTTCATTTCTTAAAGTAATGATGGCCACTCGTTTTTCTTTAGTTAGCTGATTGGTTCTTGCCATAATATGAATTTTAACAGTTGTCCAATAGGGCTGTCGGCTGTGTATTAACCTGACTTCTGCACAACACAACTGATGGTCCCAACCCCATTGATAAAGCAAGAAATTCCACTAATTAACCCTGATAAGGCACACCTGTGAAGTGGAAACCATTTCAGGTGACTACCTCTTGAAGCTCATCGAGAGAATGCCAAGAGTGTGCAAAGCAGTAATCAGAGCAAAGGGTGGCTATTTTGAAGAAACTAGAATATAAAACATGTTTTCAGTTATTTCACCTTTTTTGTTAAGTACATAACTCCACATGTGTTCATTCATAGTTTTGATGCCTTCAGTGAGAATCTACAATGTAAATAGTCATGAAAATAAAGAAAATGCATTGAATGAGAAGGTGTGTCCAAACTTTTGGCCTGTACTGTATATGTGATGGTGCTGTCTCATATATTCTTCCAGGATTCTTCAAATAATCAGCAGCAAGCAGAGGAGGCCAAACAAAGGTAAGTATGCCAAGTCAGTATACAGATACAGTGATTAATTTGTACTCCCACAGTCAGTTTTTGTATAGCTCAGTTAAACAGACTTATCAGACATCTGTTCACTGAATTATTTCCAAAATATTGTGAGATAATTATTGTTAGAGAGCCACAGTATACTTGAAAACAACATTACGAACTCATTGTGTAATAAGAACCTATCAGTGTAATCTTTTGATGGCTTGAGAGTTTGATAAATGTATTTTTCTGTTTCCCTTTTACTGGTCTCAGTCCTAGATCCAAATAGTTGTAGGTTGTGCTGATGTGGTATCATTGTTACTTGTTATTCACAGAGAAACAGAAATGAGGAACTCTATATTGGCTCAAGTTCTGGACCAGTCTGCCCGTGCCAGATGTAAGTGTGCTCTCAGATTTATTGTTAAGTCTGTTGAAAGGAATCCCTTGGAAATAAATCATGCTCTTGTAAAACCAAAAGATATTAAAAATATTTTTTTTTATTTGGCATACTATAAATTGGTGAACAACTGTAATGTAAAAAATTGTGAAATCAGAATCATCACAACACTCTTATTAACTCTTATCAGAGATTTATATTCAGTCTAAGAAGAGTGTCATACAGCCTTCCATTTTAAAAAAAACTTAAGGCTCCTACCTCTGAGTTTGAAACTGTTTTGTGTGATGAATAGGTTGTAGTGTAGACCTATAAACGCCACTCAATCGTGAACACAAGGTGGTTAAATATTTTTACTGTTTTTCAGTAAGCAATCTTGCTTTGGTAAAACCGGAGAAGGCCAATGCAGTTGAAAACTATCTCATTCAGATGGTTCGTTTTGGAAAGTTACCAGGAAAGGTAAGAAAAACACCTCCTAATGCTTGAAGCTCTGATATTGTTGCTATTCCTCGTCATGCCAGCAGTGCAATGAATGGATTTTCTCTTTTGTCAGATTACTGAGTCAGGCCTGATCGAGATTCTAGAAAAAGTCAGTCAGCAAACAGAGAAGAAAACAACTGTCACAGTAAGTTGCACTGAAATGTCACCTGTGTTTGATTCATTATCAGTCACACATCCGTCTTAAATCATTTGTGCTCTGTTCTTGTCAGTTCAACAGACGGAGAGTGATGGACTCAGATGATGAGGATGATTACTAATTTTAAACGGGAGCCCTGGGACAAGCCAAGAAATCAGGAGAGGATATGCTTTTCTGGGACTCTGATACTATCTTTGACCTGTTAGCAGAATCCTGGGATGCCACACTTGCTTCTGTGTGTCTCTGGAAACTACATTACCAAGAGCGGAGTTTACATTGTGACATAAGTGGTGGGGGGTAGAATACACACGGTTTCAGACAAGGTGTTCTTTTGCGATCTCTTTTCAATCAAATTGCTACAAATTTGCTCTGCTTGTGTTGTACTCCTGACGGCTCATGACACTGTTTGACTCCTCTAGTCTCTTTCAGTAGTTACTTTTTTTTCCCACCATGTTTGACTTCCGTTGCTCAATCAGAAAAAAGCTAGATGAATCTAGACTTTTCTGTGAATACAATACATTGTTTTCTATTTAGGGCCAGCATCCCATTCGCTCTGGATGGTGCACTTGGATTTATTTCTTTTTGCGGACATGTATCTTGAAGGTTTACATAAAAAACATTAAAAAGCCTTAAATTCAAAAGTTTGTTTCTCTGATGAGCCATCTCTGAAGTGTTCAACTCCCTTTTTAAAGGTTTACATTTTGGGTTTTCACACAGACTGTGTTCTTTGGATCAAGGCACACAGTTATCACAGTTGTGACCATGCTCAACACGAGAACAGAAGAATGTTGCAGCTGCATCACACAGTATCCTCATTACCATAGAAAAAGCTGACATACTGTTTCTTTATTGTTGGTTGACTCTTTTTGCTAAATCAACCATTTAAAATTTTGGATTCCAAGAATTAACAAATGCCAAATGTATCCAACTACTTTTAAAATAAAAAAAGCGTGACTGAGAAATGTGATTTAATTGTTACGTTATTTATCATTATCGGTAAAGTTTATAAGCCACAGTTGACTAACCAAAGGAAATATGTTTTATAACAGTTGCATTGCCTTGAATTAGTTAGCTACAGTAAGCATGACTTTACAGTCAGCATACATTCATACAAACACTACAGTTTAGTGATACTTTTATTAACGTTCATCACTGCTTTGACCTTTCTGCTCCTGCATTGCCAAGTGGAAGAGAAGAGACATCTAATGCTCCAATAACTTACTTTATTTCCATTAGTGGAAGGGGTTTTACTAAAGTGTCAAAAAAGGTCCACGACAAAAGCCCTGCATTTAAAAAGTTTACTTAAGCAAAGGTAAAAGTACCTAATTATTATCTAAATTTGTGTACAATTTGCCTCTGAAATTTTGTGAGTTCAATTAAAAAGTAGTACAAAATGGAAACACTAAAGTATAATTAAAATTCCACTGAAGTAGCTACACTACTTGAGCATTACAGTGTGGCACACCATTTATTTTTTGTACTTTTTTTATTCCAGCTTTTGGTATACAATTACAACATTTACAGTGAGTTCATTTTTTAAATATTTTTTATGCGTCATAACTATCAGTTACATGCATTTTCTAATTATTGTATGATTAATAGTATATTTTAATAAACCCTGACTGAGTCTTTGGGATGGTCTCTGTCCTTGCCCCATTTCGCACGAGCGTGGTCAGATGATCCCTCATTGGCTATTCCGACTGCCTCATCAAAATAGCTCGGCTCTGATTGGTCGCGGTGTTTGTCACATGTTCAACACCAGCCAATCGGGAGACACCGAGGAAAAGCTGTAGTAAGGTTGGCTAAACTGTAGCTGCTAACCACTAGAAGTAAATGTCTATACCCAGGTATAGCCTGTCAATACTCAGGTATAGACTGTCAATACTCGGGTATAGACGATCAAAACATACACAGGCTCACATTCAGCTGTACCAGGGGACAGTATGGACAAGCCAAACATAGTTACATGCACCGCTCCGGTAAATATAGCTGTGATCAAGTACTGTAAGTATCTTTCTTGACTTATCCTCGTGTAGTAACGTTTGGTTTGTAGCTTTAGGATGCAAAGGTAACTATGTCATGTCTTAAAGGGGACCACTACCTAAATTGAAAATACCAATATATTATTTCTGTGGCAGAGGAAAGTTCAATCAGTATTTGTGAAGTAATCTCTCTCAAAGCCAGAAACCAGAGAAGTAAGTCTCAAACTTGTGATGTCATAGGGTATAAAGTGTGGAGCTTCTCCACAGACAATGAATGGGAATTTAACTTTGTAGACACACAGAGGGGTTGTTTTCTTTTTATACCCAAATGAGCTTTCCTGAAACAGAACATGTACCCATATACTCAGAACACTCCCCGGGGTGCTCTCAGTGTCATCTAGGACACCTCTCACCATTTATTGTCTATGGAGCAGCTCCACACTTTATACCCTATGACACTGAATATTTGAGTTTTACCTCTCAAGTTTTGGATTTTGGAGAGACTTGCTTGTGTTCACTAATACTTTTAGACCACCTTATACCATAGGAATGGCATGTATACATTTGAAAATGGATGTAGCTCCACTGTTGTTTGTTATATGGTGACTTTTGTATCATGTCTCACTGAATATTGGACATTAAAGGGTGGCTTTAGAGTTGAGCATATTCATACTGTTTAATTGTATCAATCTGACAACACCTCAGTCATGCACCTATGAATCTTCCTTTTCAGGGGGGAAGAGAAATGAAGACTTAATTCTACCCATCAACTCCTCATTGAGCGTCACATTGCATCAAGACCAGGTATTTATGTACACAGCATTGTCATCAATCTGACTATGAATGTGTCTGTGTTCTGTAGGAAAACAGGCTTTGAGCTTCATCAGTGTGCCAGTGTTAACACTCCTGCCCAGAGCTGCTGCCCTGAGTGGCTGTGTATTCCTCCCATCATGTATAGACTCCAAATAAAATAAGAGAACAAAGAGGCTAATGTAATTATGCCACTCATAGCATTTTTGTGTTAACTGGTAGTTTAAGCTCAGCTGGTCACTCTTGAAACATTTATATGTACTTGTGCTATTTCAAGCATTATGTACACAGTGTGGTAAAACTGTGACAAACTTTGTAGCAGAGCTGGCATTAAAACGTCATGTCAGCATTTTGAAAAATACAATGGAAACATTGCAAGAAAGTATAAATACATGACTCTGATTATGTAAAATATTGACCTCCGTGTTGAATATTGCCTTGGATGATGATTAACATAAATTTTGTCATGTATAATGTTTAAATCTTGAAGCAAAGGTGTTAAATCTGATATAGATCTGACTTTTCTTCTTCCTTCTTTTAAGCTGAAAACAACCACAACAGTTGCAACCAGCAGATCATTTCAGGAAGATCGAATATGGCTCAATGGCAAAGAGGAGGACATAACCCATCCAAGACTACAATCCTGTCTGAGAGAGAGTGAGTCCTGTCTGTTTTGTTCCTCTTAAAAAGCCTGGAAATGAGAAAAACTGAGAGTTAGAGAGTGCAGGCCATTGTGTCATTTTCCTGTGTTCTGAATTTAGTACGACGACTAGCAAGGAAGAGACGTAATGACGGGGACCCCGCTTTGGATTCGACTTGTTTGTCTCACAAAGTTCACATCTGCTCCGTAAACAACTTCCCCACTGCTGCCGGGCTCGCCTCTTCAGCAGCTGGATTTGCTTGTCTCGGTGAGTGTGAGCACTTCACTAATGACAATAGAGTATTAATTTTATCAAGAGCTCAACAGCTGCATTTCAGCATAGAACAGAAACAGTTCAAACTATCTTATGCTGCCTGTGTGTGCCCATTCTTCAGTATTCCATGTCTTTCTCATACTTATTACATCTTCATTTTTCTCAGTCTCCTCTGCTCTTACCCCTCTTTCATCACTGTGTTGCAGTTTACACTCTGGCCCGGGTTTTTGGCGTAGAGGGGGAGCTGTCTGGGATTGCACGGCAGGGATCGGGCAGCGCGTGCCGAAGTATGTATGGAGGGTTTGTCCAATGGATCATGGGACAGAAAGACGATGGAAAGGACAGTCTAGCCCAGCAGGTGGAGCCAGAGACTCATTGGCCTGAGCTCAGAATCCTCGTACTTGTGGTAGGTCAATTTGAGTGTTTGTGAGAGCGACTGAAATAATGATATGAGTCAGGTATGTCTTGGCACATTTGTTCTCTATTGTGAAGGTCACATACCTAATTTCCTCCTTCTATAAATGACAGTCTTGCGAAACATGTTGAGCAACTGTGTTGACTAGTGCACAAAATGCACGCTTTAACTGAAAATAGTAAAAAGTTATATCACGTGTAATTAATTCACTTTTTCACAGGCCAGTGCTGAGAGGAAGCCAGTGGGCAGCACCTCTGGGATGCAAACCAGTGTACAAACAAGCTGCCTCTTAAAGGTACTATGTTCACTTGCTTTAATTTACATTTTTCAATGTACTAACATGACTGTTAACACTGTTAAAAGTGGAAATGAGATGTGTTTAAAGCGAACTTATTGTCACTCACAAGAAGGTCAATCTTTTCTGTTTGTGTAGCACCGGGCCGAGTCTGTCGTCCCAGGCCGGATGACACAGATGATTGAAGCAGTGCGAAGAAAGGACTTTGCTGCATTTGCTGAACTGACCATGAAGGACAGTAACCAGTTCCATGCAACCTGCCTTGACACATACCCTCCTATCTTCTACCTCAATAGTGTGTCTCAACAGGTTATCAATTTGGTGCATCGGTATAACAGACACTACGGGGAGACTAGGGTGAGCAACAATATCTATGTAGTAATCATCTTGGTATATTGTGTTGGACAGCTGTGAGTTTACCTTTTGTTAATGCATTATTATGCAACATTAAAGGTCCAGTGTGTCAGATTTAGGGGGATATATATTAGAAGAAATTAAATATAATAAGAATGTTTTCTTTATTGTATACTTTCCTTAAAATAAGGATTATTGTGTTTTAGTTACCTTAGAATTATTCATATATATCTACACAGGGAGCAGGTCCTCGTGTGCAGAGTCCACCATATTGCACCCCCATGTTTCTACAGTAGCCCAGAATGGACAAACCAAACACTGGCTTTAGATAGGACCATTTGTGTTTTGTGTTGGCCACCGTAATTAGCAGCCCCTCTGTGACAAGAAAAACATGATTTCTTTTTTATGTAAAACTTCTTAATTCAGTGTTTTCACTGGTTTAAATCACCTGATTCATTTGTTTTGGAGAGGAACTTCCGCTAAAAAGATCTATATCAAAATAAGGTGAACACACATTAAGTTATCAGAGAAAAAAACTGAGCACACATTAGCAGGTGTTGGGCTACTGGCCCATCTGTGACAAGCCAAACAGTACAATAGAAGCATTGATTTGTAATGTGAAACTGGTTTATTCAGTTGTTGTTTTTTTACCAGTTTTAATCACATGGGGTGTATTCTCAAAGCTTCCTAGTATGAAGAGTTGCTCTTAGTGACGAACTTCTAAGAAATATCTCAGAATAGTGACATTTTCGAGCTCCTAAGCTGAAAAACTGTTAGGAACAGGGAGGAGGACTTTTAAAAGGCTTAAGAGTTTTTTTAATCAGAGGAGAAAATGGTGAAAACACAAAGAGGTCGGAGAAATATTCTCCAAATGCTGAATGACAGTGAATAAATGAAACGCTACAGATTAGATCGTGCAGGAATATGTGTGGTTGATCTCACTAGGGATATGCACACATTTCCCATTTAACACTATAACACCAGAAATAAAATGATCACATTTCTAAGATGTTTTGAAAACTGGAAAAATGCAACAGTGCAGCAGTGATGACTTGGGTTTGTCTCAACCTTCCATTAGCAGAGTGATCACACTAACAATGACAACACTTTCACAGTCAGCAGTTGATTTCCACTGGGTGTCCACACCTTGCAGGCTCACAAAAAGACGTGTCTGTGACACCCAATCATATCTGTTAACAGAATGCATCATACCTAGCAACATGTTCAACCACACCTCCTTGCAAAGGTAAAAGGTTTTGTCCCTTCCTTGCTCAGAGTTGCTCTGAGAACTTTCCTATATCATCCTATGCTAGGACTCCTTAATAAAACGTTTTGTTTGGAGCTCTCTGAGAGTGTTCTCAGAATGTTTGTGAATACGGCTCCTGGTCTCTTTGTTTTAAAGAGGAAGAGATCCCTGCGGATAATTTAGCTCCCAGTAAAAACCTCCTCAACAATGAACACTGAATAAATTCTACGCGGGAGAAGTTTCGGCTGGTTGCAATCTGCAGTCCTCACCACTAGATGCCACTAAATCCCCTTAACTCTTGCACACTGGGTTAATTTCTCTGCATAATGAAGTGATGTATGGAAATGTGGCTGCTTTGAAGGTGATACAATTGTCGAAAATATCAGTTATCAATGGAGCCAAAACATGTATACCACATATTTTAAAAGTTCTTAAGATCATTTGTCTGTGGCGGTGTGTATGTCTTAAGATCATGTACTTCATGCATTATGTATAACTGTAACGTCCTCACTTTTGTATCATTGAGTGTACGCTCTTTTTTTCTTATGTGAAACATTTCTCTCAGTTCATGCAGCTGAATTTCTGAGATGATGTAATGAAGATGTGAAACTTGCGAGGTAGTTTTCAAACTCTACGTGACTGTCACATTCTGTTTGTTCCCCTCTAGTTGGCCTACACATTTGATGCAGGACCCAACGCTGTTATCTTCACTCTACAGCAGCACGTTCCTGAGTTTGTTCAGGCGGTTCAACATTTCTTCCCCCCTGAGACCAACGGAGGACAGTGAGTTGACAGTCACCAAACTTACTTAGCTTGAGGGAGCAATCCTGACAGCTGACTCCTGACTGACATACAAATTAATAAATTTATCTAAAAATATGATACATATACATAAACAGTCAGTGATACATGGGTGTTTTTGACTCCAAATAAGCATTTTATTGAGGTGTGTTTGCATTCAGCCTCTTTGAAATTAGTCAGTGAATGTCTCTTCCTTCTCTGCAGGTTTTTCAAGGGTCTTCCTGTCAACCACGCTGCTCTTTCTGAGGAGTTGAAACAGGCTATTGGTCTAGAGCCCATGCCAAAGGGCATAAGCTACATTATTAGTACCAAGGTAAACACATACAGATAGATGTGATCACTCTGTAGCTCAGTTGTTTTATCAGTTCACTTTAAACAGCGACAGAAAATCACTTTTATCAGTTTTTTTTATTCATTTTACTTTGTGTCTATCTTAAGGCTGCAAAACATACAGTAGAAAGATGGGATACATGAATTGTCAGTTTGCGAGACACATTCAGATTTATGTCCACATTTCCTTTTAGCATGCTTTTACGAAACATTGTGTTGCACTCCTTCGACTGAAAATTGTGGCACATATTATGATGCACAGTAGTTCCTCTGTCTTACTGTTTTTACACTAAAGACGTTTATTAAACGGCACTTTATTAGCCTTTATTAGAACAAGCTTTAAAATAGCATTTTTAAATGTTACCACACAGACACCCAGGATGAATCTGTTGTTTGGTGTCATGATCATTTCTTGTTTTGTGTTCAAGGCTGGACCAGGCCCTCGTGTTGTGGAGGATCACACTCAGCATCTGCTTGGATCTGATGGGTTGCCGAAGAAAACCGTTTGATGTCCTGCAGCCCTAAATGGACAAAGATCCACTCAACAATAATGAAGCTAATTCATCAGAAATCAAACTTGCTTTAGTCACATGTAACAGGTTTTTACAAATCCCAGCAACACCAGATACCTTCCTTACCAGTGTGGATTCTAGTATGTCTTCTTTTAATAGTGCAAAGTCTTAGGGCTGCTGTTAAACTGCACCTACTTGGGCAACAAAAAAGTTTATCTTGGGTGCATCGGTACAATGGACAACCAAGAAAGGGTGGCAGTGGAGATATCTGCACACCAATGCGACTGGGCTGGACAGCCACAAAAAGGTCCACAGGCTGAGATCAATGTGAAAAAATGTCAATTTATTTAGGGATATCTGTCTTGATACTTTCTGCATTGATGTCAGCCTGTGGAAGTTTTTGTGGCTGTAGCATAGGTTGCTTTGGTGTGCAGGTATCTCTGCCAGCCTTCCTTTAACCATCAAACAGTACTGATGTGCCTCTCATCTCTTTATTGCTTTTAGAGGTACTGTTTCAGGTGTAGACATGAACATGTGCTCAACTCTAACTTGGTAAATAAATGGGCACACTGCTGCTGCTTAAGGGCACTACCAGCGTGCTCTTAAGCAATGCACAATGCAACATTAAGTACTTTTTTTGCCTATGACGGTTTGAATTTATGTTTGTAGCCATGTGTGTAAAGAGGGTGTTATGATTATGTTTTCATCTTTTGAAAATTGAATTTAAACCTACAGGATATCCTTAAATCATGTTGGTTTTATTCTGTAACATGAAATAAAATATATTTTAGCCAATATAATGTTTTGTTGTTTGGTCCTTTGCCGTTTCTAGATTCAAGTTTGCTTTTGCGAGAATTTTTATTGAATTTTTATTTATTTTTTTGGTCAACGACCAGTGACTTTAAAAGCTGAAATGATCAGAATGGCAGCAAGCACCTGTTGAGAAATCCCCTATGACTCAACTATGTAAACATGAAGTTATTCTTTAATCTAAGGCAAAAAATCTGACACCTTTAAGAGATTTGTTTATAAACGTAGACCAGAGTGACGGCCTTAAAACGGATGGCAATTAGCAGCATAAGCATATGAAATTCAGGTGCTGCACCTACCTTTTTTTAATAAATGCTCAGACCTGTCCGGTAAGTTTGAAAGGTTAGCCACTCCTCTCCACTGTGGCCCTGCGCTATTCGGAAATGACGACTGCAGCCTCCCGCCCTGCCTCCCCGTCGTCACACATAACACACCTCGCATCTCGTAAAAACATTTCTTCCTTGTAGAAACAATCAAAGTTAAGAGCAGCTCTCTGGTGATTCACAGCAGCCTGCAGAGTGAACGCGATGGGCAAGATAGAGTGGGCGATGTGGGCCAATGAGCAGGCTCTGGCCTCGGGACTCAGTGAGTATAAAAACTTTACCAAAATATTAAAAAGAAATCAGAGAAATTAATGACATAACTTCCAAGAACATTTTAATTGAAAGTCATTAAATACTTTCAACTGTACTGTAAGTCTACGTAAAGAATAAATTAAACTGAATTTTAGAGTCAAGTAAATGTAAAATTTAACATACTTTCCTCTCTGAGTGGAGTGACAAAAGGGAGGCTGTGTTGTTTGTTTTAAGTTTTAATTTTATCTTCCTGCTTCCTTCTTTCAGTTCTCCTCACTGGAGGCATAGTGGGGGTGGCTGGACAGTTCAGAGGCTGGCAGTTTGCTGCTTATGCGGTGTATCCTTTACACTTTTCAGAGACCGAAATGCTAGAGTCCCACTTCAAATATGCAAAACTAAAGTCTGTGCAGCCATTTGCTGCCCTTATTCAACTTTTACATGGCGGCCCTTAAGTACAGTTGCATGCTGTGTAAGAATTCATAATCACATGCCTAAGAGAGAGCTAGAGAAGTTATTTAGGACAGTTAAGTAAATATATTTACCTTTTTGCAAAATATTCAAGCCTACATTCCACCATTTGAAGGCACGAGGCAATATATAATCAACACAATCATGTCTGCGTGTATTTGTATACACGAGTCAATAAAGTTTTTCATTAGTAAACCAACAGTATAGCAGAGGTAGTTTTTGTTTTAATGTGATATTCTTACAATATCCTGCATATATTCACTTTTATATCAGAAACAATCACAGGTGCTTATTTGAATTTGCCATGATGTCCTATCACAGTCATTACACGACTTATTATTAGTGAACCCTGTGAGATGAAACAGCCTTGACAGATAACTAGTGCTGCTGGGACCTTTGTGTGTCTGCTGGAGTACCCCAGAAGCAAGAGGGCCAAGGGCACGAGTGTGGCGAGGACGTAAGTGATCTCATTTTCCTATGATTTAGTTTGTGCAACATGTAGGCTCTACTTCAGTCACTGCTCACTCCTGTCTCTTGTTTTTCCCTCAGGGGCCAGTACTGCTTCACTGTGGTTGTGAAATCCTTTGGGCCACTCACAAGAAACTACTATGTCAGAGCATTTCTACATGCTGCGTGAGTTCATTATATCAGCCACTTTCCTTTGCTTGACAGCATTCCTCTCATTCACCATCTCACCATCAAAAGACAAAGGACTATATTGTCTCTTGTCCTCAAAAGCTATGTCTCTTTTGTAGAATCTGTGTACCTGGAGGTTTTATGCTCGCTACTGTCCTCGGATGCGTCTGCCTTGGCATTGCCAGCCTCATCTACCTTGTGGTAAGTTGGTACCTTTTACCATATCAATCTCCAGTTAGAGCAGGTTGAATATACTCAACACTGATAAAGTTGTTAGATGAGGCAGGAAGTGGTGGGCCTGATGGAAACAAGGAAATAGCAACAAGGAAGGGACTGTTTCATTACTGGTACCTCTGTTGAGACATGGCCTTGCAGTTATGAAATCTGACCAGTCAGGGGTGTGCCTGAACTCTTCAGAAGTACGTGATGTGGTAACCAGAGTTATAAAGCCTTCCAGGCTGCACAGTTTATCTCATTATAAACATGCACACAAATATGAGTGTACAGGATAAGGGCCACTGATATGTACCCTCACATTATTGTTGTTAGGGTTTGAATAATAGGTTTCAGCATGGGCAGATATTGAGACAAAGGGCCCCTAGGCACAGACATGCAGAGGGCTCCACCACCTCTCCTACACAGGAATAAAACACAGACTTTGTGACGGCTTTGCCTCTTTTTTATTGTTGTTTTGCATCTTTCTTTAGTCATTATGCATCTTCTTGTGGATTTCGTATCTTTGAGGAAATATCTGTCTTTTTTGGTCGTTATGTGTCTCTTCTTGTGGTTGTTTTGCCTGTTTCTGTAGTTATTTTGTCTCTCTTTGTGGTCTTTTGTGTCTCTTTGTGGTATTTAAGCCTCTTCCTGTTCTGTAATTTGAGTGACATTGTGCAGATAAAAGTCAAGGGATGCCCTGACACATTGGGCCCCTGGACTGGTCAATAATCCATCCATGGGTTTCTGGCATGCTTAACTTGATCTTATTCTAGCCAACCATCACTGACTTGTATTCTTTGTCATCATCTTGCTTTCTAGGCAGCTATCCGAGGTGAACACTGGGAGCCTATCCTTCCAAGGAAGGACGTGAGCCGAGGGGCAGCAGGAGGACCAGACAGCATCAAGCAACCTCCTCAGAATCCACCACCAAGACCTCCTCCTGAGATGCGCAGAAAGCGGGTGGACGACCTGGAGGGAGCAGCCTACGACAACCCCATCCCTGTTACTGATTAACCAGTCTAGTGCCAGCATCCTCTGCAACCCTTCCCCCTGTCTGCCTGAGACCTCGAAACAATGAAGCCCATCAAAACCAGTCACAGTGGGACGCCACCAGATTCTGTGACTCTGGACAAGTGAATAGTTTTCTAAAGCAAGTGACTGGTTGTGACGACATGTTGGGTCCACACCTTCATACCTCAACCTGCAGAGAAATATCTTTAAACAGAGGAAAATGTTTTTTAGTTAGTTAGTTTGTTTTTTGTAAGAACTGAGAATTCAAAGTAGGATGTAATGAATTTTACTTCGGAACAAAAAACCATGCCACTGGAGACAAATGTAAATGCTGTAACTGTTAGGTGGCGACCAACTACATTAAGTTAGTTGTGAAAGACTGTAGGAGATGTAGGTATTTTTACTGCTGTTTTAAAAGTGTAAACCTTTTTTTCTGTGCTAATCCCCACACTGTATGTTTTAAGCTGTGTTTGATTCACTGTATTGTGTTGCCATGCACAGATCTTACAATATTTTGTATTGTATACCTACACGCTGTTATTAACCCCTGTATATTTGTGGATTTCTCATTGTCACTGATCACAATGCTGTAGGACAACATAGCACTGTTTGCTAGGATTATTTTGATTAATGGGTTTTGGCTGAATCAGGCTATTAGGCATTTGTCATTATTATGTATCTGTACTTTGTGATATTGTAAATAAATTCATTTTGCCCCTTAATTCATGATCCATCCAGGGTTTTGCTTTTATATGTCATATTTTTTCAAGTTTCCTTTGCATGATTATTTTAAGTAGTGATATTTGCAACTTCCCTCTTTCGTAAACACCGGATTTCATTATCTCAGAATTTCCCCTTCTCATCTGTGTTTCTTTTCCCTCATTGTTTGTTAATTTTCCATCCTTTTCTGGCTTATGCTGGACACAATGGCAGACAATGGGTGACTTACACATCTGCCCGGTTGTTGGACAGGTTCTGCTTGTTCGTATCATTTCTGTAGTCACGTCTCTTAAGTGTGTTTTTTGTTGGTCACAGCTGACCTGTCAAGCAGCTGGAGTCTGTGGAAACCAGAGGTACAGTGATACTTCCTCATTTCACTGTGTGGGGCTGTAATGTGAGAAAATCTTTGTGCAGCACTCTGGATATACAGTTTATATTTTATTTTAGCTTATTTTTACCAGTAATCAATACAATTTAATGTAGTTTTCTAAATTTAGTAAAAAATTCATAAAGGTGAAAGTTACTTAAAACTTGCTTGTCTTGTTTGGGCAGTTTTATCTAGGGTAATGCTGCCACCTCCTGCTGCACAAGAGAACTTAAATGCACACTGATAATTTGGTGCAGTAGTGTGTTACATTTGTGTTTTAAGCAAAGACAAAACATACATTTCATATTGTGGGACTGTTTAAAATCACTTAAAAAGTTTAACTTTAAAAGAAATTAAAAACAATAGAGTGCAATACAGATTTTCATGAGATACAACATCAAAGTGCATTAGCAAAATAGCTTTTATAGAATGATTTAACTATATAAAAGAGGGAAATAATATTATCAAGACTTAAATAAGTGCCTCCTATATCAATTTTCAATCAATCAATTTTACTGATAAAGCTCAATATCATAAATCACAATTTGCCTCAGACGGCTTTACAGCATACAACATCCCTCTATCCTTTGGACCCTCGCAGCGGATAAGGAAAAACTCCCCAAAAAAACCCTTTACCCAGCCAACATTTGTATGTGGGACCCATGTAGGTAGTAAATGGGCTAAAAAAAAATGGGCCCTATATGGGATTGTCCATGGGTTCCATAATGGCCCCATTCCAGTTGCCCACATGGTTGGGTTTAATCAAGTGGGCTCCACATAGGTTATGCTAGGGCTACCTGGGTACCAAGTGGGTATGGGCCCAAAATTGGCATCTTATCTGGGCCCTTATTGGTTAAACCCACTCATGTGTGCAACTGGCATGGGGCCAATGTGGAACCTGTGGACAATCCCACATAGGGCCCATTTTCACGTCCATTTACGACCCACATGGGCCCCACATACAAATGTTGGCTGGGTAATGGGAAAAAACAGTAGAAACCTCAGGAAGAGCAACTGAGGAGGGATCCCTTTACCAGGACGGACAGACATGCAATAGATGTCGTACAGAACAGATCAACATGATAAATTAACAGTTATCCGTATGACACAATGAGACATAAAGAGAGACAGAGACAGAGAGAGATGCAGGACAGATGGTAATAACAGTAGCTTACAACAACATTAATTTAAGTAATAACATTATAATAATAATTACGGTTATTGTGGTACAATATGTTGTAAGTATATAATAATATATGATGGTATATGTATGTGACAATAATCATATGTGTAAAATAACAGTAGAAGTATGACTAATGATAACAGCAGCAGCAGGAGGCATCTGGCAGGACCACGGCAGCAGCACAACCACACACGTCACACTATCCAGGCACCACTGTGATAGAAGTTAACCTGCCAGACAGTGGAACACAAAGGCTCCGGAGAAGAAGTCGAGTTAGTGACATGCAGTATGGCCGAGTTAGCAAGATGCAGTAACAGGACATGAGAGAAAGAGAGAGAGAGAGAGAGAGAGAGAGAGAGAGAGAGAGAGAGAGAGAGAAGGAGAGAGGGTGACCGGTGTATTATAGGGGGGTCCTCCGGCAGACTAGGCCTATGTCAGCCTAACTAGGGGCTGGTACAGGGCAAGCCTGAGCCAGCCCTAACTATAAGCTTTATCAAAGAGGAAAGTCTTAGGTCTAGTCTTAAATGTGGAGACGGTGTCTGCCTCCTGGACCGCAACAGGAAGATGATTCCACAGGAGAGGAGCCTGATAGCTGAAGGCTCTGGCTCCTGTTCTACTTTTGGAGACTTTAGGGATCATGAGTAACCCTGCTTTCTCAGAGCGCAGTGTTCTGGTGGGATAATATGGCACTATGAGCTCTCTAAGATATGACGGACCCTGACCATTTAGAGCTTTGTAATGTAGGAGATGGTTTTTAAATTCAATTCTGGATTTTACAGGGAGCCAGTGCAGAGACGCTAAAACAGGATACAGGCGGCCAGGATGACTATGAGTAGGCTGTCTTCCTCCATCTGTTAACTTCATGTATCATTTGACTTCTGCTGCTCTGATATTGCATAATGTCTGTTTATTGTTATCTAATTATCTTATTTAATATTTTGCCTCAGAGAAGTGATGCTGATCGATGTGATTGAACCCTGTAGAAATGAAAGAAAAAAAAAAATACACTCCATGTGTTGATTGGTTATCGATGCGATTCTCCATCCCTCCTGCAGAGGGCAGTGACGCGCCCAGAGCCGTTGAAACATTTGGAAGAACAAGAAAAAGAAACCAATGGAACTGACCCCTCTTTTCATTGGTCTGCTGTGTCTGTCACCGACTAAACACTACTTTTATCACAAATATTGACGTGTATGTGTCCCATGAGCAGTGGAAAATGTCTACCCGGGCTCTGCGACGGCTCAGAGGGAAACAGCGGGGTCAGGAGGCCCTGGACCTCGGGGATCTAACTTTGGGTGACAGCCCGGAGGAGCAGGCTGCGGCTGAGGAGGAGCAGCCAGACACGGCTAACGTGTCTCCCCCGTCTCACAGCAAAGCCAGCAGCCGAAAGGCAAAGAAAAACAAGACTCAGAAAAACGTCAGCAACATTTATGAATTGGTAAGGTGACGGTGTGATTCCCCAACTAGCTACATGTTACTTTAAACATAACGCTGTTTTGTGTTTCTTCCTGACATACGTTTACAGCTAGCTCTCTGTTGACAAACTTTGCTAACTCAAGCTAGCCGTGTGACGTTAACATTAAGTTAGCTGATATCTCCGCTTATCTGAAGCTAACTGTTAAACTTAAACACATTATATAAAGGTCCAAGTTAGCAGCAAACTGTCTGTCACATTAGAAAATCACTGGGAAGTAGTCAACCTTGAGAAAACACTGACAAATAAGGTTCAGTTTACTAAACAACACAATGTTTATTAGCCTTTAAATTGTATTCAGAGTGACATACAAAGAAACACATAGCTAAAAATCAGCACAGGATGTAACTTACCTCTCTTGTCTTTCTTTCTTTATTTCTGGTAAGGACGATTTTCCATTAGTTTTGATCAGATTTAATTTTTAAAACTTGAGTCAAATTGATTTTGAGATGATATTGAGTTGAACTGAAAGTACATTGAGTTATTGTGATAAATAAACACTGATCAGCCCCAACATTAAATCCACTCACAGGTGAAGTGAATAATGTTGATCATCTCGTTACATTGCAGTGTTCATCAGCGAAACTGTAGGTCCTGGCATTCATGTGGATGCCATTACATGCTCCAACCACCCAAACACGTTACAGACCAAGTACACCCCCTCATGGCACCAGCCCTCCCAATGGCAGTGCCCCCCTCAGCAGGACAATGCACCATGCCACACCACCATCACAAAAACTGCTCAGGAATGGCCCAAGAAACATGACAAAGACCTCAAGGTGTCGACCTGGCCTCTCAATTCCCAATGTGACCATGTCTTTGTGGCATGTGCCGATAGCAAACCTCCCCACCCACAGGACTCAAAGGAAACCATTGTCAGCGCTCCGGTGCCAGACACCACAGGACATCCCTCAGAGGTCCTGTGTCAGAGCCAAGTCCAATCCAAGGAGGACCCACTTTGGAATCGCAGTATCTCTGGGGTACCAGCACATACCACGAATGCTGGATCAGATTGGAATCTGGGTAATTTGGAGGCCAGGTTAACATCTTGAGATCTTTGTCACATTCTTTGGGCCATTCCTGAACAGTTTTTGCAGTGTAGCATGACACATTCTCCTGCTAGGGGGGCAACTGCCATTAGGGCGGGGGCACTTGGTCTGCAATGGTGTTCGAGTTGGTGGAGCTTGTCAAGTGGCATCTACATGAATTTAAGGACCCAAAGTTTCCCTGCAGAACATTGCATTGTAACAGAATGATCACCTCCACCTGTCATTGGTTTTAATGTTTTGGCAGATAGACAGAGAGAGAGAGGTATAGATTGATAGATCATTTATTTATCCTTTAATTAACCAGAGAGGTTAATTAAAGGAAAGAGTGCAGGTCAAGATGGGCAGCACACTTATAAGTTTCCAGCACAAGTGCAAACAGGGACAGATGACGTCAAAAAATACATATCATCACGACAAGAGATACAACTCATAAAGGAATCGGGGGCTAAGAAGAATCATGGCAAATGATGACACCTGTTATAAGCAATAACAGTTTTTCTGTAAAAACTGATTTTAAAATACTTTTACACATGTCAAGAGAGGGTAAAGTTTCTAAAATTTTTGACCGTAAAAAGAAACTCACACAGTTTATTTAAGCAGTGATTAAATTAGATTAGTTTTGTGTTATGAAGCAAAGATACACTGTAGATCAGTGTCAAGCTAAGATTAATTTTGCTTTAACTTCATCCGTTGTCAGAATCATAATGCATGACTGAATGAATGCATACATTTTTTTTTACTTTGTGTTAAATACATTTTTCAGTTGTTACGGTTAAAATTAATAGTTGATATTATGATAATAACATCAATTATCATTCTATATTTATTCGAGCACCATTAACACTTTAAAATAACATGTCAAATTCCTTGCATGTGCACACATAATTGGCCATTAAAGCTGGTTCTGATTCTATGACACAGTGTCACCAGCATTTTAAGTTGTATTATTTGTCACAACAGGAAGCTTACAGTGAGCTGTTTACACCAGCCAGCTAAAATACCTTAAATCTGAGCCTTACATTCCTTTTTATTCACACCACAAGCCATCCACAAGCTATTGTTCACAACATTGAGTTTGTATATCGTTTATGTTGTTATCCTGGACGCGCAGATCTTGTCTATGGAGTTGATGTCTCAATGTTGGACAAAGCTTTTTGCAGTGTTGCATCTAGCTATGGGGTTTTAACTCACTTTTAGCTCTGTTTACCCAACATGCTCTCTTTCCAATGTCACATTTTTACCAGATAGGTGATGCAGACAATGAGGCAGAGCAGATCTCAGCTGATGAAGAGGCAGAGAAACCAGATGGAAATAAAACAAGTGGCACGGAAAAGAATGATAACAGAGACACCAAGGAACCAGCTCAAAAGCAAGAGGAAGCGTCTACTAAGGTAAATTTGAAGCAATGTGAGAATTATGTCTCTCTGTGATCCTCTGATTGGACTTAAAAATTCTTCTGATCTAAATGTACATCATTTTATATATTAAACTGCCATGTTTCTCTTTTTGAACAGTCTTTGTCCGGAGACAGAGTTAAAAAGAAGAAGAAAAAGAAGAAGACAAAAGTGACATCAGAAAATGGACAGGTACATTTGTTGAGAAGGGATTCAATATCTCTTATGGTAGGACATTAAATACAATATGTGATAACCTATGCTATATTGTTTGAATTATTGACTTAATGACTCACTTTAATAATATTTTTAATATCGATATAATGGAATTAAATTAATTGCACTAAAAAAACAATTAAAGGTTGTCTTTTTAAAATGATTTTCAGGAGGCTGCACCAGACGATAACATTGATTTACTGCTGGAGAACCTGGAGCACTCCAATGGTCTGAGTTTACAAACCGAGGATTGCGGAGGTTTCGACAGGAAATCTGTGCTACAAGTTGAGCACAGGTAAAGAGACCAACATCTCTCATGTAGACAAAGTAGATAGATTCAGATCACATATCATTTTTTCCATGTTTATCTGTACATCTACATCCACACAATTCTCTGTTTTCTAGTGTGCTGTATTATTACCATATATTTGTGGTAAATAAATTAAATCTATCACAGTTAAAAATAAGCACAATTATACATGAATGTGTGTTGGAGTAGTGATACAAAAATGTCTCATGACCAATGCACAGCTGATTTCACTTGAGTCAATGGTCAGTTCAGTGGCTTCACCTACTACTGTACAATGTACATTTCTGTGATTCCTTATTGCCACCATGTGGTGGCGCTTTGCTCACACAAGAAAAGTAAACTGTTCTGAGACTGTCTAGCTCAAGAGATCCGCTGTAATTGCGAAAGGTGAAAACATGGTTTGTTTAATTATCCTTTCAGAAACTCTCTTTTTTTGTAGCAACTGTCAGACAAGTCCAACCACAACAAAAATACAATGAAATAAGAGACAGACATTTTACCAGAAAGTGCTCCACAAAACTAATCAAGAATCAAATACAACAACCTGCAAGTCACACACACACACACACACACACACACCATATCACCCATATTGTTTAAAAATGTTGCACATCCTGCTACACAACCAGTGACCAATTTAATTAGTCAAAGGCAAATTACCTGTGCTGATAGCAAAGTATGTGTAGTCATGTGGGCAGCTGTTTTCACTGATGCAAGCGTTCAGATACAGAGCAAGCAAGTTTGCTCCCCTGTTGTTAAGATCAATTGCCCAACATTATGTGTGCAAACACTGTGCAGACATTACGTCATTAATGAAGTGTCCATAATATAATACTATGTAAAAAAAAAAAAAAAAAAAAACACACTAAAAAGTTGGTGTTTGTTTAAGGCTGACTTTGCTTGCCTCAAAACAAGCAAAAACATGAGCTTGGATCAGGTGTCCCACTGGCATGATTACTTACTTAATTTTGCCCTCCATTTGCTCAGTATGGTTGCCAGTCAACTTGTCAGTGTTACGTCTTGAAAATGGCAAAAATAATATCAAAATTATGCCTTGGGGGTTTTGTTTTGCATTTGTGTTGTAAAGTCTAGAGCACCCACGGACCCACACGTCTAAAATGTCTAAATCAAACAGCCCCTATTTTTACCTTGAAATGTGTTTCCTCAGCTGGCCCACATTGCCATTTAATCTGTCAAGATCTAAATGTTTTAGTTTTTGTTTTTTGTGTGTGTGTGTGTGTGTGAATTTCTTAGGAACCTCAACCCAGAGACGGAGCTGAAGAGATATTTTGGGGCTCGAGCTGTTCAGGGGGATCAGAGGTAAAAAGAAAAGTGCATACTGTTGTAAGATTGTTTGGATTTAAATGTCTGCATGTTTACAGTATATTCTTGTGCTCTTATTTCTTTTTTCTTTTTTTTTTTTCTTTTTTTTTTTTTTTGACAGACCTCGACAGAGAAACAGACAGTTTCACCGTAGCACCTGGATGACCAGTCCTAAGGACAGCTGGCCTCGCTTCAGCCGCCCAGGTAGACATTTCTATTCTGTCTTCTGAATTTACTTTTTTAGATGTGTCATTTCAGACTGAAAATCGACTGTTTGCCAATTTTAATGACTCTTCTCGTGGTTGAAATGAGCTGTTGCAAAAAACAGTAGAAAAATACATATAATTAGATAGAAAATATACGATATTAAGTGCTTAAATGCCACAAAACTCCTGTTTTTTCTGGATATATGTTGTTTAAAAATGCAGGTTGCGTTTCTCCAAAAGTTGAATCTGTTTCAACTTTTCTCCAGCTGTGTCTGTCACCCCTTCCCACTGCCCATGTTTATAAGAATGGGAAAAATTGCTTTTTCGCCACAACACCTGATCTGGTGTAAAGGCTGCATTAATAGTACAACATATTCTTCAATATAGACTTAGGCTGAATGTTTCTTTTGTTATATTGACGTCATCATAGAGACTGCCTCGTTGTGTTCACATTGAAAGTCACCATTGATGCATTATGTAACCTGTCTGAGCATGTTCTTGGATTAGATTTTTCTCACAAACGTCTACTTTTACTGCTGTTAAAGTGAGAAACCCAACCTTATCAGTACACATGGTACTTTGTCTAGTACATTTGTTGACTCATTCAACTTTCAACTTCATTTTTTCCCCCAAAAGGCAGTTGGTTTAGCAGTATAGAGTGCATTATAAAGACAAACATGAAATAACAATAGTCAGAGTAACACAGGCTCAGCAGCACTGCGTCAGTAGACAAGCATAATCATCGGAGCAGCATTGAGAACAATACAGGATGACTACTCTTTTATCCCCCTACATAAAAGTATGACAGCATGGCATTATTACCAGGATCAAATACATCAACAGAATGCTCCAGAGGCAACAACATAATCAGAGATTCAGACTGTGACGTCTAACACCTCCATATTATTAGAACAATGTTATATCGCTGCACAAATCTAGAATGTCTTCCATCTTGTTTAAAAGCTTGCAGTGATTTGTTGTTTGACAGTGATATGCTGTGACTAACAGTTGTTTTAGCACAGTCAGAAAATGTGGGTAGACACAAAAATGCTCAGTAATTCATGTTTGTTTTTTATTTATAATAATGACATAATAATGTTCTTTTAAAAATAATGTTGAACAGCAGATAAACACAATGGTTGTGAAGCAGCACAGCCAAGCTTACATACATTAGTCATCTGCTACAGTGACTTAAGTGTGTCCTCACCATTCACCACCCTGTAGAGCCTTTTTTTATGTGGTGTTGTCCTTAACTCTGATGTCTCCACAGGAATCTCAATGACCTTACTGCAGTCAAAGGATGGCCTTCAGTACTTCACCTTCGAGCACAGTCGGGACTACCAACAAGTACAGTTCAAGTTCCTAGATGCCGTTGAGTCCATGGATCCCAACAACATTGTGGTAAAAGAGTTAATCTCTGCTGTGCACTTTGGTGTCAGTGAGTTTTATTATGATGTACTGATGTTTTAAATCGGTCAGCCTCAGTGTTGATGTTGCCAAGGATGCATAAGTGTAAGTGTTCAGTCCCATTGAGCAAAAAAAAACAAAAAACAATCATTAAACGAGCTTAAAATTCTGCTTCCTGAATCTTTAGTGAAGTGAAGTTTAGATGTTAAGTTTTGTAGTTACCCTGCATTATAACACAGTAAAAACCCAGGCCAGTGGCAGTTTGCCTGCCTGCCTGTAGCCATACTGGCAGATCTACAGAAATAGCATAACTACATGCATTTCTATTACCTTTTGACCCTTGTCTTGTGATCCAACTTCTTCTATTGAAAGCGTGTCCATCTCATATCTCCATCCATCTCTTACAGTTTCACCATTGTCTCTTTTCTTTTTCTCCCCAGGCATTGCTACAGCTGAACCCCTACCACATTGATTCCTTACTGCAGCTCTCGGATGTCTGCCGCATACAGGAGGATCAGGAGATGGCCAGGGACCTTATTGGTGAGGATTATTCTGTAAATCATATCAATTCTGTACCAAAGAGCATTAAGCAGAAGCTGTTAAAAAGCAAAGAAAAAAAAAAAAGCAGGGCAGCTCTGCGTCTCTCCTCACACATAGAGAGATCCTGCTCTCAGTCTGGTTACACTTCACTAGAACTAATGCGGACAATGGTTGTTGCTAAGTAATGCACCATTTTTAACCACCTAGCTCCCAGTCCATCTCTAGTTACCCCTCCACTTCAGGTATGTTAGGGGTCTTTTGACTGCAGAGAACACTATGAGCCAGGAGAGCTCCTGATTTCTGCCTGAGTAGGCAAACATGTTGATCTTGTTGCTCCACCTCTGTATTTTCTTTGCAGTAAATAGTTGTCTATTTACATTGTTTAGATTTCATTCATCATCACATTATAGAGTCTATAGCAATGATTTGATCTAAACAATGCTGGCACAGATTTTCGATTTAAATGGAGTGCACACATACAAAGAAAAAACAAAGCAGTGTTAATTCTGTTTTTAATTAGTTTCCTTTTTAAGAGAACCATTTAAGTATTGTAATTATTAGGGGTATCGGTAAGAGTGGTAGTACTGTTAGAACCTTAATGATACCCATCCCTGGAGCATAGTGTTAACTTATTAGAATGACTCACACTGTTGATAGAAGCGCTGTGGTCAAACACTGATGCTTTCTTAGTTTTTGTCAGAATATTAAGCTCTGAAATTGTGGGGACTTTGGCGCTCAGCGTCAGTGTGCTTTTGTAAGATATAAACTAACAAAACAACCATCGTAAAAAGTTAAAGGCCATGCGCCAGGCAGAGCACAATACTGGATTTATTAGCACAGACCCTGTCCTGGACTGGAAAGCAGAAATTGTGTTTATGTAGAAGACGAGATGTATAATTTAACAATGCCATTTGTCTTCTTCCCCTGATAATTCAATTTAATTTAACATGACATCTGTTGAACTTTAACACAAGAAGTAACACATTGATTTTCACTTCTTGTCTTTGGATGCAAAGCCCTGCTGGTGAGGTGACTGTGAGAAGAATATAACTGCTAACTGTTTGTGCCATGTCCAGTTTGCTGAAGCTACAGTGAATATGACAAAAAAATTTATATAATTTTTATATAAACTATGATTTTTTGTTTTTTTTTTATTACAGAGAGGGCTTTGTACAGCTTCGAGTGCGCCTGTCACCCTTTATTTAGTTTGACCTCGGGTACCAGCAGACTTGATTATCTGCGACCAGAGAACAGGTTGGTCTTTTCTTTTCCCTCTTGTTTTTCTTCTTCTACTTTTTCTAATGTGAGACATCTGTGGGACCCCATATATTATTATTATTATTATTATTATTATTATTATTATCATATAGATTAAAGATAGCCATAGATTATATAGATTATTATTAAGTCTTTGTAACTTGTTTTTGAAGGACTCTGCAATTCAGTTTCATCATCTCTGTTTGCAGGGCCTTTTATCTGGCTCTTTACAAGCACATGATGTTCCTGGAGAAGAGAGGATGCCCACGGACTGCTTTGGAGTACTGCAAACTGATCCTGAGGTACACAGGAAAAAAACCTTGAGCACTTGGAAAGGCTAGTTATAGCGTTAAAGGGAGGCAGTAAAATCTATACAGTAAAACCCACCCGCTTCTCCATTTAAAGGTTAACCAATAACATAGCTTTTACCTTAGTTACTTTACCTCCCAGGGGCCAGACGCATATACAGTGTTTACACAAAAAAAAAACACGCATACACCTTTTCCCACACATTAACTGGTATTTATAGAGACAGATTTTTGCAGGCTGCACAGCGTTCTTAATTTAATTTCCCTGTTAGTGATCATTTGATTTTTAATCTGTGAAGCACTTTGTTAAGTTGGTTTCAAGAACTATGACAGAATCATTGATAATCCTTCTGACGTTTAGTAGTGCTAATGACTGTGATTGTGCCGCGATAATAGTTTTCAGAAATGTGATGAATTCGTGGTAAGGACATAACAAATCGCCACAGCCTTGCATAATGACAACCGCTCCTGAACCTCTCCAGTGCACCACAGCCTTTGAAATTGCACCCTCTTTACCATATTTCTCATCGACAGCCAGGTCTAATGAATGGTGGAGCCGTTTAAGTATCGATATGCAAACACATGTTTAAGGGTGTTTCTACATCCATTTATGGCGAACTGTGGGTGTGGAAATGAAGCTTGTGCACGTATGCCCAGCACCACAATGATTGGGGTTTATAAAACAGAATCAGGTGTGTGCACAACTTGAGATCTGAAAAGAATGTGTATACATATATCTGTCGTTGTGCGTGCAGACATGAATCTACACAGAGCTTGATGCGTCTGTCCCCTGGTGCCTCAATGGCTAACTCATCTACTCTGTTGCCATTATCGCTGACCAGCACTCTGTTCCTAAGGAAGATGGAAGTTTAGGGGCTCTTACTTTCTCTGTTGTGTTTGTCATTTGACATCACATGGAATCGTAACATATGATCACATGAAAGATAACAAAAAAGAACTTTTAATTTCCTAAATAAAGTAACCACCAACAGCAATCACTAGACTTGGATCACAGTCCTCAGAGAGTGTTAGCTCAATTAATAGATTAGTATTCTGACTTTTGGACTTTCCCCTGTTTGGGCACAGGGGAAAGTCCAAAAGTAATATTTTGTGGTGATATGTTTTATTTTTTATGTTTTGCAAGTGACTGATAAAAGATGTCCCCTCAAAATAATGTATGAGGTGGAAATAATTCGAAAATGTGTCTCCTTCAGATTGTGCTGTTTTATTGTTGATAAGATGCTTTTTAAAGATATTTCAATGCTTTTCCCCATTTATTTAACTGTAATTGATAGATGGTGGAATACAGGCTAATTTAAGATCATATAATTTACATTTATACGTTATAAAATCCCAAAACAATGTAAATTTTAACATCTCATTACATAACATAGAACCTCCCATGTTATGCTGGTACAGAGACCACTTACAAGGCTTTGTACATACTAAAGAAAGCTGGTCCCAGGCACTGCAGCCATCAGTCTGCCATAGCTTGAGCTTTACAACCTAACCACATAATGGTCAATGCTTATCTGTGATTTTCATCAAACTCTGACTTCCTTACTTAATGATAGCTATGTTCTGGTGTTTTTGCAAAGTAGCAGTGTGGGAATAAAAGTTGACAGCTGTTCCTCTCTAACCAGCAGTGAATAAATCACTGTCAGCTTAAAATGGCAACATGATTAATAACAGTTCAACATCAGTTTGAAGAGTGACATAACATATATGATGAGATTAACGTTGCCATTTCTAGAGAGGAAAAAAAAAACACATAATATTTGTATTCCCTTGTTTTCAAACTCAAACTACTATATTAGATATCATGTTATATATTTTGGTTTTAAGAAAAACAATATTGCAACTATATTGCTGTAATGTATGTGACATACGACCTACTCGCAACCCCACGGTTCTCTTATGTTTCGTTCCTATGAGTGTTCATATGTATGTGTGCAACTGTGTATGATTGTGTATGACTATTTAGACAAATGGGTGTAAGTGAACGTGTGCACTCATGAGATCAGGTGCACAGGCATATGTGTACATATACCTTTTGTTCTTCTCTCCTTTTTTGTTGTTTCTTTTGTGTCTATAAGGGCACCACATGGCTAGCATTTGTATTACTTAGCCGCATCATATTGTACCCATACCTATTTCTGTTCATTACACTGATGCTGCCCATGTTTTGTACAAAAAAAACATGAAAAAATAAAGTTTAAAAAAAAAGAAAATGTAGTAGTGTGGATGTAGCCTTAAACAGAAAAGGCTNTATATTAGATATCATGCAGGTTCAGATAGAATTAAATACATTGTGGTGGATTTTAAAGGAAATCAGAATTAACTTATTTCACTAACGTTGTCAATAGCAATTTGTGCACAGCAAAGCCACTCCATGGTTACCTCAGTTGTCCTGCTGCCCAACCTTCAAAATTTGCCCGGAAAGCAAATAGAAGGGGGATTTTTAGGCTGTCTGGTTTCCGATGTCTAATGTGTTTCACCCTGAAGTGGGGACATTTGAAATTAAACTGATTGATTGCTGTGACCAACAGTGCCTTTAAGGATAGAACAGTGTCTCCTACAAGTCGCACTTAATTTTCCGCCCTGGAACATAGGATGAGACTTTTAATCGTACCTGGATTCAGACATTTGGTCAGCAGGCCTTGTTTGTGATCATTTGCCTCTGGTCTTGTGTGCCGCTCTTTCATTAGCCTGGACCCAGACTCTGACCCACTTTGCATGCTCCTGCTCATTGATTACCTGACTCTGCGCTCCAGAGAGTACCGGTCTCTCCTGCAGTTATATCAGGACTGGGAGGTAAAGTGTGACATTTATGTGCAGATTCTCATACCTGTGTTTGTGTGTGTGTGTGTGTGTGTGTGTGTGTGTGTGTGTGTGTGCACGCCACTGTTAACTAATAGAGAAATGGTTTGTTTTGGTGTTTCAGGAGCACAGAAATCTGTCACAGCTGCCAAACTTTGCATTCTCCACTGCTCTTTGCCATTTCCACCTCAGTCAGCAGGAAGATATGGATCCTGAAGAAAGCAACAAAGAAAGGCACAAAGCTGACCAGAAGCTGCAGAACGCCCTCATCATGTTCCCTGGAGGTTAGACTCTCAGAAACTAACCAACACCAGTCTATGAATGTTTAGACATGAGTCACTTCTTCATGTTGTTTATGGCATGGCTGAAAAGATCTCTGTGAAGTAGAAGGGATAACTTGCTGTTGACATCAAGGTAGAGCTGCACGATTCTTGCTGAAATGTGGTTCATGTTTTTTCTCCCTAACGATTGAAATCACAGTTCTCTCACACAATTCTTTTTTTTTTTCCCAACAAAAGTATTTATTGCACTCTCAAATGCTCAAGTGAAACAACATGCCTGAGATGCTTGCCGTCTAGACGGGGCTTTAAACAGATGACATTAACGTCATTTATATCAAAGTGCTTGACTTACATATAACATATATCAAAGTGCTTGACTTAAACTTAAAATTGTCTTGCAGAATCTTGCTCTTGTAGTCCAACGTTTTCACAGCGAAAAAAAAAATGATTAAAAGTTACACTAAAATGATGTATAACAGCTTTCATACAGCTTTGCACACACATTACTCTTGGATGGATTACTCGCGAATGCAGGGTCACGCAGGGTCAAATGCCACACATATCACATGAAAGCGCAGGAGCAGAGCTTTCCAGTGATACCACACACATCATTGTGCTGTCATCCCATCACGCTATAAATACAGATCAATTGTCTACAAAATAAAAACCTGATGAATTTCTTTACAACCCATTATACAGATCTTGTTATCAGTCACTTCATATAGTGAGGAATATGTATCATACCACGTCTTAGGCTTGCGTGTGTTTCTCCCTATCTATCCACATTTGTAGTCCGGCTTTCAAGATGCAAATATCTCCATATTGTCCAGCTGACACTCCATCAAACTTTGTATGACAAGACAAGCGCACTTCACCTTTGCGCACACAGACAACTGCAGCCTAATTATGCATGCGTGACAGGGCAGTAGTCACCATATACATTGATATAAAAATTAATATAAAATACAGGCACATAGAAAAACATGGAATGATGGCAAATCTGGTTAGCCCAGATTGTCTTGAAAAAAACAAGATATAGCATGTGTATGTAGCCTTTATAATGACTGTGATATGAGCTTAAAAGTAAAGGCAGTAAAAATACCCCAAAAAGGCCTAGGGCCCATAGGGTTAAGTGGATTACAATAATAAACTTGTTTGGATTATTTTATTGCACTTACAATGATATAATGACAGGTTGTTAACTCAAGTAATGTCCCCTCTGTCAGTGGTGAGAGAAACACAGCCGAGCAAGAGGAAAACACAGTAAAGGCTCTCACACTGAGCTAAAATGAAACGAGTGCTCATAAAGTAGTTAGATAACATAAGTAAAATATTTACTCTTTCATGGGTGTCAGGGGAGCCCGTTGGTAGAGGAAACACTTGATAGCAACTGGGATTATTCCGCAGCAGATAAGTCAACATGTGACTGCAGCCTGACATGAATGCATAGGGAAATGGGAGTGAGTTAATCGTCCTCATTTAGAAATGAGATTGCATAGACGTATGAATTGAGATCTTTTTTTTTATTTTTCTTAAATAGTGCAGCCCTACGTTAAGGTATTTGTAAATGTAATCTTCCACCTATACTGATGTTGCTGTTGTTGTTTTCTGCAGTCTTGATTCCTCTGCTGGATTTGTGCACTGTGCAGCCGGATGCCACAGTCACCTCACATGCCTTCTTTGGCCCAAAGAGCCAATTAGGGTAATGTATGCTCTCTCTGTTTTGCAGCATGGTACAACTCAATACAAGGGGTGGGGAGTTTGATTCTTAGATGCACTGCGATAACCCCTTGAAAGATTAAGTCTCCATGCAGAAAAGCCAAAAATCATCAATCTAAAACCCAATTCTCGACTTTAAGATCGCCTGTAACAATTTTGTAAGACCAGCCTGTGTGTTCCTCACAGCGCAACCAATCGTATGGTGAAATGCAGTGGGCTTGTGTTGTGTTGTGTTGTGTTACAATGTAAGATGGGCTACTTCTTGAGCTTTGGTGAGGATGGCTAAGTGTAAGCAACCACAGATGGATACAATGCAACCAGCATCCTCTGGCTTAAAAGCATTTTGACTTCTATTAAGTTGAAGGGAAAAGGGGCCTGGACAAGAGCCATACTGTTTGCAAGATGTGTCTAACTAAACTAAAATATTTAGTGAACACAGCAAACATGAGAACCATATTTTACGTTTCCACCTGGAGCTGGAGGAAAAACAGCCAGTTGTAGACGCCGCCAACCAGAAAACAATCAAATAAGTGATATAAAAACTAGTAGAAAAAAAAGATAGTTGAAGTGAATTCATTTCATTCATTTATTCATTTATTTTAATTAGGGATTATTACAAATACGCCATGTTTTAAAAGTAAGAAATAGTCACACAGTGCAGTGTGATCTCATCCCTGCTCATCATATTTTGCCATCGGCACTTAAGTTTTGGCAATTAAACTACTTGGTTGTCGTTAGTAAATGAGCGTGAAAGTCAACACTCATCTTTGAGTGGCACAAACATGGTTTGAAAGGCAGCAATGTGTCACTAGAAAGCACAGTTACCACCTCTCCTGAGTCAAAGTCTGGTTTTTGTTGGACTCATCCACCTCCCCTCCTCCCAGCATGAGCCGACTTTCACACTCTTTAAACTAGGTCCCGGCGCCATCATAGTGATGGCGTGGACACTGCCCAAGAGACGTATTTTGACGCTCTGGGAGTGAGACAAGGCTGAGAAAACAAAAATCATGTATAGAAATTTCATATAATCACACCGTAGCTCTCTGAATTAGACTCATTTGGGAGGTGCTTAGAAATTCCCACTGCTAATTAAAACTGTATGGCCATTAGCTACAACAAATTAATTTTATTATTGCTACAAATTGTTTCACGGCCATTATTTTTATCTTCATTTTGTAACCATTTTGCTTTTCCATTATGTTTCTGTCACCCTCACTTTAAAAACTCATCCTGCTCTCTCTGTCTCCAGGCAGTCCCCAGCCCTGGCTGAACTGACGGCTCTGTATGTGGGAAGGACTCACAGCCTGTGGAGGGAGGCAGCAGTAATGCTGTGGTTGGAAGAGTCTGTGAAAGAGGTGCTGCGTCGAGTCGATGCCAAAGACCCTCTGGTGGAGGACTGCCAAAACAAGTAAGACCTCAACGAGCTGCTCTGCTGCCACATTTTTTGTGTAGTGATGCTCAGTACGTGACCATGACTCCATCACTCTGTTTCAGGAGGAAGCAGAGGTACCAGAGTGCGCCAAGGAACATCCATCGTCACGTCCTCCTCTCTGAGATTAAAGAAGCCACCTCAAGTCTGCCTTTCGTAAGAAATGATTAGCAACCACACTTTCATACAGTTCACTTTATCTACAGTGTCTTCAGTCCACTCACCAGTAGATACTAAAGGGGGTGATGGCATCATTAAAATCTAAGGTCAATTTTCTAATGCACTGTAAGGTTTTCCAAATATTCCTAGAATCCAGAGGACTATAATGAATTTATAATCACACTACAAGAAATTTGCAGCCTCCCGGAGGTCCCAGTCTGAGATTGTCTTGATACAGTGTATATGAATGCACGCTCTAGTGCTCCCTGATTTCAATCAGATTTAATGCTAGAAGCATGAAATTTGGATCAAATCTGTGATGACATTATGCATATTGCACATTCACATAATATATATACATAGCCCTCCATAACTGTGACCACATGTGGCCTCTTAGTTTTTGCAGTGTTTTTCACAGAATTACAGTCTATGTATGGCGGTAGCTAAGGCTGGGGAGGGGTTGCAGGCCGAGCTCTCCATGACTTAGTTTTCTTTCCTCAGCAGCAGTTTGTGAGTCGCAGGATAGATAATTGATCTGTTGATCCGTTCAGAGCTGATCAGATCAGATCAGATTGATGGAGAGGAGCAGCTGCTGCACAGGCGAGTCACACACAGTTTATACCCAGAAGAATGAACGGTTAAGTTTTGCTTTCAGTGCTCCTGATGTTCTGCTGCTCCATCTGTTCCAAGAGTTCACTCTGCCGAATGGTATATATATTTCAACAACGCTCCTAATGAACGGTCCAGCTCCAAAAATAAAAAAGCTATTTGTGGCAGCAGATGTTTTGATCGTGGCGGGCTGCCACAAATAAATGAATGTATGGTAAATCCTGATTGTGTATATATTTCTTAACTGCAACGGATTCACCACCAGGTCACCATCCCCAGATCAGCATTCAAAACTGCCAATGAAGATAAGACAAACGACTTTGTGGCTAGCCGTGCCTTTTTACATTAAAGGAAATGCCTGGAATTTCTTGTGGTGTGATTTACCTGGCAAGAGACCAAAGTTACCTATCATTCTGCAAATGGTGCAACTGCCGATTAAAAGGTGTGAAAGTAGGTTATTCTTGGTGAAGGATATTTTTGAAGATTTTGAATATCCAGCAGACAGTTATTGGATCATTTTTCACAGATTGTTTTGCTTCTGATTCATAATTGTGGTTACACAAGGACACTTGAAGGAACACGAAGAGGAAGTGTAATGGACTTAAAGATGGTCAATACTGACTTTGAGACAGTCATATAATCTGTGCTATACAGAAGATCCTCCCAAAGCCTCCAATCAGGGTCTTACATGATTTTGATTTGAGGTGAAACTTAGTTCCACACCTGGCTGTATTAGTACAATAGCATCAACAAAATACTGATCATGTATCCCTGAATTCGTGCATCTCTGAGTAAGCTATTTGTTGGATACCCTCAGGAGGTGACCAGTCAACCTGTGATGGGCTTTGACCCTCTGCCTCCGCTGGAGTCAGTGTTGTCGTACACCCGACCAGAGAGGTAATTGAGTACCCATACATTTGTGCATTTCAAAACAATAGGCTTTTTATCCTTTATTTGCCTTTACACCGTAATGATATTTTTGTGTATTTGTGTGTCTGTGTATAGGCAGCATGTTGGTGCAACCAATGAAAGCACATTGTCGCTGTTTTTCCGGTCTCTGCTGCCAAACTTCAACCTTCAGGTGAGTTGCATGAATCAGACACGATAGCTCTGTCAGAAGATGGGTCTGGAAAAATGAAATAATCGGGGGTTGCACGCTACAGGGGCAAATAAGAGTTGTGCTTTAGTCTTATGGAATGATACACAATAGGGTTGTCCTCAATGAGTTGATTAAAGAGAGCAAAAACACCTTAAAACTAATTCACTTATGTGGTTTGTATAACGCTGTACATCTCAGTTATAATTCGAAAATTCAAGCCATCCTGAATCTAAGGAGCTAAGTGATGTCATCTTAAGATGAACCTTGCTGCTGCATTTATGTATCATAAAAACCTTCGAGGACTCTAATAAAGAACTCATAGTGTGGACTTTGGGACATCATGTTATTACCAGCTACAAGCCTTACATCAAAATAAAACTTAATTTTAACACATTGTGTGAGCTCATAGTCAGTGAACAACTCACTCTGAACTTCAAGTGTCTCATTCGATGAAATCATAATAACCTTATTGACTCATGGTTACCCCTCAGGGGATGACAACTGCAGAATATCAAAGAAGGCATATGACCATGTTACAGTTAATCCACCATTGGTTATCCACCATTTTCTAGAGGAGCACAACAATAGCGACATTCATGAAATGCAAAGTTATTTGTGGCCTTGGCTTTGCTGTCCCTTTTCTAACAATGAAGCTTGATGTTTATATGTTTATTATTAATTTGTAGGGCCAAGTTATAGAGCAAAGTGAAGTTTACTTCCCCCGATTATTGTGGGACATTTTCTGATTCTTAAAGGAGCATTATCTTTTGAATATCTCTTGTGTTAGTTGAGCCCGTTCCATTTTTCTGCTCATACTTCAACATCAAACCATTTCAACAGTTCCAATAATAGCTGGCCTTCATTGTGATGTCTGGATTTTGCTACACTGTGCAGGTAGTCCTGCCGCCTTAATGCAGTTTGGAGTTTTTTCAAAAGGAAATGGAGTGCAAAAGACACAGACATCCATACATATATATTTTTAATTGTATAAAATCACTCAGTTAACCAGAGTTATAATTAAAGTGTTTCAAATATCAGCAATATATTTATCACTTTAGATTGGGGATGATATCATAAAACTTAAACTGCCACAGTTCTTGAGCTTTCCTTAGTCCACATCTTTGCCCTCAGCAGCGAATGAGTGTTTGCTCTTTCCGCTCATGCACTCCACATTATTTGCTTCCCCCTTGTTCCATATGGCTTACCATATGGCGACAAACACACTGTAATGTAGAGCAGGACTGTGAGATGTGGAATTACAAAACCACAGCAGATTGGCTGTTTTGAGGTGACCACTGTGGTGTACAAAATATGAGACTTCAAGACAGTAGGCTTAGTTTTCATCTTGTCTCCGACCAGCAGTCAGTGTTCTTTGAATCATGAAGGGGATCTTTCCGTACCCTTAACTAGTTTTAGATGCCAAAACCAGATTGGAAAACCACTACCTGACATCACTCATTAACTGGTTTACATTTAATCGTATTTGCCAGGCTTGGCCCCAATAATAAAAACATACAGGCGCTATCTGACTCCAAAAAAAGTGCAGCTAACCAATTGTAGATGACTGTTTAAGAGATGAGGAACTGTAGAGTGATTAAAGACATGAAATTAGCAATGTACTTTGACAAAATTAAAGATATTTGCACCATGAATTGATGCAGAAAATGCACCCCACCCAATGTTGACACAAAATCTATGCCCTTGAGAACAAGTGATCATCACATCTTCTCATAAAATTGAGGAAGTGACTGTGTAAATCAAGAAAGCACGCACCACTCTCCACAGAAAATTAGAAAAGCTGAGCTAATTGATATAGCATTGTTACAAAGGAAAAACAGAAGAGGGCGGCATGTTTTTCAGACTCAGCACTGTATGATAACATTTATACAGATGTATGTTAATATTGTATTGTCGGGACATTCAGTGTGACAGTGGCATTCATGTAATATAGTAAACAAGTTGATGGCACTGAGGATGGATCAGAAATGTGCAACATTGTCTGCACTAGACACTCAATATCAAACAAAAACCAGAGACTGTGTCGTATTAATTATCTGTGAGTCGTAAGTTCACCACTTCCAAGAAGAAGAGAGACAATAATGTTATCTTGGAGCCTTGTGGTGGAAAGTTTCTGTGGAGTTTTTGACCATCAGTAGTGCTATGGAGCAATGCTCTATGACTGGATCCCCATTTTGTTTGTTCTCAAGCACAAGCATGAGCATGCAGGCTATGTAATGCTACTGATAAACAAGAGGCAGTAAGGCACCAAGAAGCGCCACAGTGCGGCAACTAAGACAAGGAAGAAGATGGCAAGCCAGTAAAGAAGGGTCTAAACAATGCACAATTTCTGCATTTTATTTATTAAAAAGTCTGCTTTGCAACTGCTTAAATGGAGGGAAACACTTTCGACACGTTTGTTAGACCTCCATGATGCATTTGAGCAACACTGAATGCAAATAGAACTTGTCTGTGTACAAGGAAACTCCACAAGGTCCCTTTTAGTCTGTGTCGTAAAAGCCATTATGTTTAGCATTTGAAATTTTCTGATTAAAAAAGGCAGTCTACCACACAGTGCTTTTGCTGAATGGACTGAAAGCAACAAATTGAACCATTTCTGGGCACGTTTTTTTTTTTTTTTTTCAGCAAAAACTTAACCATCAGAATAATTTGAAAGATTCTTATGATAACATAACACTCTGTAATGGTCCATGTTAAGACTCAAAGGCTTGGTTTATGTTCAACCAGGTTAAAACAGGGGTTAATGACAATTTTACAATGACTGAGATGCTTAACAGAAAAACGACTGTAACTAGGGGGCCATAAAGGTTATATAACGAGTTACAGAGTTATGTCAGCCTCATCATTGGTCTTTTAGTCCGCGGCCAGTGTGCAGCACAAACCAACTGCTGCCTCTTTAAGAGACATACATCCGATACACCCACACATCGAGCGTCTTATGGCTTAGCTATACATATTTTAAGTTAGCACAGGCCCGAGGCGTGTTTCCATCAGAATAGTCCATCCATCCTAATCATGTTATCCGCTCATGGAGAGGAAGAGATACAGTATGGATAACAGAAATTTGGTTAAGACCAGGGAAGATATGCTGCTTAGATCTTTTTTATAATATTGTATCTGCTAACAACATAATGCTATGTTAGATAACACAAACACCTTTTATTTCATTGTGTTTCTAAATACATCATAAAAGTTCTTTGGGGTGATGCATTGGTACCAGCGTCTGAAATTAACACTCGAGAAGTGCCAAATCAGGGTAGATTTTCTACTTGGCGAGTCAGTCCTGGAAGGCTATCTGCTGGGTGAGTGTTTGTACCAAAATAGCCATAAAATAAAAAAATTCAATGCGTAGTCTCTACTGAGTCTAGGTGTCATAAACGGGCATGCTGCTTCTGCACACACATAACACCAGATGTTTTTACATGTGTCTAAACAGTCTCAAGTGTTCCTAGTTTTGCGGCACTTTTTTAATGTAAGGGACATCAGCTTACTGCAATACTATGACTTGATGTCGTCAGGAGCAGGGGCCCAGACTTCATGATCTGTTTAAAGAAGGTGATTGTGGTGAGGAGTCTGATGAGGAGGTTTTTAGATTGAAATGATGAGGCGTGCGATAGGTTTACAAAACCTTTAAGTTTAGCTGTTAGTTTGATCCCTGAGCAGATTTCATTTTAAATATTTAGTACAATGTTGAAGCATCAACTTTTTGATTAGGCATTGATCGAAATATTGTATTAATTTTGCTTCAAGTTTTACTTTGGCCTCTTCTTTAAGTTTGTGTTCAACCTTATTATCTCAATGAAATGTGCTGAAACAAATGTAAATGTGATACAAAAAGGCAGTTTAGTATTTCGGTCGGTAAAAATATATGCATGACCAGTGGGTGTTTTCACCTCCCAATGTAATTCTCCAAGTTAATTTTGTACACTGGTTGGCACTTTGCATTTGCTCTTGTTCCCATCAAATGAGATCATTTAGTGTCAATAATTTACTAAAAAAAATAACTAAAAAGAGTAGGACTAATTGTTATGTTCTTACAACTTTAAGTGTCTTTCAACACTATTAAGTGCTTCCAGCTAAGTGAGATTGTTGAACCCATGTTAACAGTCGCAGGATTTTCTCACAATACACATAACAGAATGATCCGATAGGTCACTGACTGTCTTGCATTGGCCAGCCATGTCAGTAATGAATCCACAGAGATGAGTAAATAATACAGTTAAGGATAGTTAAACAGAAAGTAAAATCTGAGTAGGCCAAATGTCAACATAAAAAAGGACTTAGATTTTAGATAGTTGTATATTAACGGAACTCTCTTTTCTTAATAAGGGTGGACCGAGGCAGGAGGATGACATGGAAGTGGCCCGCGCCGGTCAGGAGCTGAACCAGGAAGTGAATCGTCTAATGGTGGCAATGAGGGACATGCTGGCAAACATCAGGTTTCAAGAGCCCCCGAGAGAGGACAACCCCTACAGAGACGATGAGGAGTGGGACTGAGAGAGGAGGGAGACAGGTGGAAACAACATGACAATAAGAAAAAAGCAAATATTTAATGGTGTTTATAATAATTAAAGTATTAATTAAAAAAGATGGAGTGGCAAAACTGAACAGTTTTTTTTTAATTGTCACAATTTTAGAGTGCTCAAGTGAAAAGAAGAGATGACTTAGTGTTATGAGCCTGTCCACTTCTCTGCTTTGGTGGCATTGATTTTTAAAGACAAACCACTGGAACAGTCCAGCCACTTGTGAACATGTGGAACATTTCCACCAGAGTCTGGAAACAGATTGGTTAGTTGAACCTAACATGTTGCATTTGAAAAAAACATTTAGCTGTTCCAACATGTCCGATCATTTTCAGTGGGCAGCGCTAACACATAATGGGCGCTACTCTTCCCTCTGTGGTTTCTAGCTCTTAAAGTTATTTAATGTTTACAAACAGTGGGTCGATTTATTAAGTATGAAGTTGAAATTGTTTTATAGGTTCAGTTGAAGTTATGCATTACAAAGACAGCACTTTGATGTTTATTTTTTGCCACAGAATCTGAAAGAAAGATATTATTCTTGTTCACTGAGGCCAACTGTTAAACGAATGATTGGGAAATTAGTTCAATACATTTAAGATCATGAAAGGTGAAAACTGAAGGCTAATTCATCATTTTGAACACACTTGTTGTTTTACTTGAACATGGAAATATTTTGAATCTGTTCAGCCTCTTTTTACAAATGGAAAATGAACCTCTTTCATGCTTGGATTTTGTGTTGGGATTATCACATATTCAGATATATATATCGATATATAGATATATATGTCAAGTAAAACAGATCGAGAAAAGAGCCAGTATATGTGAAGCTCTTTTTGTAAATAATGACTATGTTTGTCGTCTTCTCAGACCACTGTGCTTTCCTACCAAATAACTGCTAAAAAAAAAGTCCAAAACATAATAATGATAATAATAATAAACTTTATTTATGTAGATGTAGCACATTTCAAATTGAAGCTACAATGTGTTTTACAAGACAAAATAAAAATGGTAGACAAACAATGTTAAAAACAATTTTAGACCAGTTTAAAACTTGAGAAAAGTAAAATAAGATAATATAAAATAATTGAAATAGTCAATAAAATAAAAGTGTCTTAAGTGCCTCTGTATATAAATAGAATCCACATGCACAGTGAGGTGTTAAACCCCAGGGCTTTGAGCTTTGTGATGAGCCTGGAGGCAACTATGGTGTTAAACACTGACCTGTAGTCAACTACCATCAGTGTCACATAGCTTCCAGACTGAAATGTTCCTGAGTCCATTTTCATCAAAAAAGAAGCAATCAATTGTTCAGCAACAGCTTTTTCTAGAACCTTACAGAGAAAGAAAGACCATTTTAGAAATTGGTCTGACGGAACCATTGAATTGTGACATGTTTATCATGTACAGAGTATAGGGACTGACTGAGAAATCGTGCAGGCAGGATGTCAAGAGCACTTAAGGAGGGCTTCATTAATTACCTCAGTCGCTGTCAGAAGATGTTGTTTTAAAGAGCTAAGAAGTTGTGATTTTAAAAGACAGTTTGTCCTGTGCATGAGGGGGACTGTGCAATTGGATCCTGACAACAGGTTGGAAAAATTCTTCACATTTCTCAGGGTAGGAATCCATACTGTCACTTGGAGGAGCCTCCGTGGCACTATAATTACATTGAACAAACCCTGGAGTTGTGTCAGTTCTTTTCAGTATATTTCAGTAAATACAGAGCTCTGGCATTTTACCTGTGTATTAAAATTTCTCATAAAATCTCCTAAAATGTCAAAGTGCAGCTCTTTTATAAGGCATGTATGCTGTCGGTAATCCATGGCAGGAAAACTTCAGAGGGTTTTTTTCTTCTTAAATGGTGCAATCTGGTCCACAATCTGGACATAGCTAGTATTAAACTTATTCTGAGCTGTAATAATATCTTAACTTGAGCCAAGAGGAGAGGAGAGCATCTGTGAGTCTGGCCACAGAGGAAGTATTAAAAATCAGAGAGCATTATTGGACAAATTATTTTGGAACACAGATGTGATTTTTATCCATTTGTGGTCAGATACACTAAAGTCTACATACAAGATTGAGGACAAGATCATGGGTGTGGCCCTTGTTGTGATTACGTCCTGTAACATTTCTACTTATATGAAAAGACTCAACAATGGCTAAAAACTCTGTGGCTTAAGGATTATCAGTACAGCAAACATACACATTCAAATCTCCCACAATCAGAATGACATCATAGTTAGGCATTTCAACAGAGAAGAGTTTGGAGAACCGCTCAAGAAAGCCAGAGACATGTATGGGGTCTGTTGGTTAAAGTGCAGCAAGTTTAAAGGTTCCCTCTAATAGTGAAACACAATGACTCAAACTCCAAAAAGTCACCCAGGAGATGAGTGAGCAAATGAAGTTGTTATTGTTAAACAACTGAAAGCCCTCCCCTTTTCCAAAATAACCTGGGCTGGTTGAAGGTGGAGAAATTAGGGGGTGGGGATACAATCATGGGCACTGAGTACGCGTTCACACTGGCGCTATTTGGTCCGCTTCCACGGATAGTTTGGTTTGTTTGGAGTGGTGTGAACGCTCATTCTAACTCTAGAACTAACTGCGGGCCAAACGAGTGAACCCTGATCCGCTTGAGAACTGGGAGTCTTGGTTCGCTTGCAAATGGACTATCCAGTGAACCAAAGAGAGGAAGTGACATACAGCGCATTGCGTTTTGGTGTTTGGTGTTTGGGATTTTGTCGGTCCTGGCCAATCGATGAACCGGGTTTTCTTTTTCCTCACACTTTCTCCTCAGTTAGAGTTTTTGGGGGCACGTCCAACTGGTAGGACTCCCAGGGTAGACTAAGAACACACTGGAGGGATTAAATATCTCATCCAGCCTGGAAATGTCTCAGAATCCCCCACAAGGAGCTGGAAAGAACTGCTGAGAGAAAAAAGAAGAATACAGGTTTGCAGCTTGCATTAGTGAGCCTGCTCGATTTGGATGGAGTCCATCGCATTTAAATAAAGAAGAGCGTTCCCAGAACAGATTCAAATTGTCGATAAGACCAAATTCTAAACGGTAGCTCTGCTACTGAAGCCAGGTGTAAAGCTGCAAAGTCTGCTGAAATAACCACCACTACATACAGTAGTAGGAGTTAGTTGTAGATAAAAACTTCTTTCTCAGTGAGTTTTAGCATGTTCAAAAGAACCATGAAATCACATTTTTAAAGCTTCGACTGCAGCTGTGCAGTGTCAATAACACCAATGTGAACGTCATCTTTCTTAATGGGGGTATACTGAGAAGACAAACTAGGAAGTTCTGCTACACAATGTGTTACAGCCCTGCTGGACCTGACTTACTTAATACTGGATTCACACACAATCAGAACAGAAGGTGACTGTGGAGTCTGACCTGTCGATCACGCACTGGTGGATGAGGGTTCCTACCCTATGCAGAGGATGCAGCACCAAGAGGGATGCTACTATTAGCTGATTCAGAGTTGGCAGGATGTCTGACCACCACCTTCTTTAGAAACCTATGTCGCGAGGGGAGTCTTGGGAAGTGAGCAGAAGTCGATGGGGAGCGCTTTATTCCTGAATGTGACCAGTCAACACGCAGGTTTCCGTCTTGTACAGTATGTCAAATCCATTTGCTGGCAGGTCGAAGGGAGAGGTCGATGATGAGAGAGGACACCCAGCCAGATCGGGATGTACTGGGGAAGGTGGAGAGGTAATATTTTCAGAACTTACAATGTATTCCCAATCTAGGGAAACGCCGGTGAAAGGTGCTGGAGGTGATATTTACCCAAGCGGGGATTACGGTTCTTAACTTGGACCCAAGGCTCTTGAATGGATGGAGTGGCCCAATTTGGGTCTTAGGTTTGCTCTAAGGCAGAACCACAGGTGTCCTCTTGCGGGGTAGAGTCCTGTGGTGTGGATCTCGTCACCTCCGGGCCACACAATAGTGGTATCATTGTCCTGAACTTATGCACCTTATGAGGTGTTCAGACTGGGCTGTGGATGGATGACAGCTCTTGGATGAACTTGACCATGTCCCTGGGTCCACCCTACAGTTGGGTAACGTCAGTCCTCAGTTGTGTAAAGCTAGGATGGCAGTCCCCAAACACAGCCATGTGTTTGTCAGGACCAGGACTTAAACCTGTGTTAAAGCGCAGGTTTAGCTCAGGGCTGCACTGAGCTGCAGATGACTGCTTAGCTCAGCTAGCTAATGTTAGCTTAAAGGATGACGAGGTCTTATCCAAAGATGGTCTTTCTTTCTTTCTTTCTTTCTTTCTTTCTTTCTGTGCAAGGGCAAAGTCTCCGAAAAATCAGTGTATCAGTGTTTTAGAAAAGTCAGTCATGGTGGTATAAATCATCACAAACAAATCTTTGTGAGAGCCTGTTTGGTGCTGATAACGTGCTTCCGTTGTGACCTGCTGTGGATGCATTCAAGCAATGAGATGATGGATCTCACTCTGTAGCCTTTATGATCAATTTAGATCTAATTTTCTATGAAAAATAAATGAAGTCTAGTCTTGTCTCCTGCTAATTTCAGCCTTTACAAAATGGAGACTATCACTATGCTGGGAATCTGTCTTATCAAAGAAGAAATATGTCGGTTAAATGCTTATTTGTCGCAAGGGCCTCGTCATTTCACTGGAGAACTGCAGCCTGAGAATCTAATCACATTTTCTTGGGCTTCTAGTGTGTTTTTTTCTTGTGTAAATCGTATTGTTACCGCAGGATGTCTGCTGTTTTCCTGCTCTGTTATGTCCCCTCACTCCCAAATTTTTTTTGGAGGGACTGATTCTCACATTTCAGAGAACTGGCCGGAACTTTTCCAGTAGTCTGCTGTTCATCAAGTTAAATCCAGTGCATGAGTATGGCAGATATTTTATAAATTTTGCCTAAACTGATTTAAATACTTCCTATGCATTCTCAGTAAGATACTCAAGACCTCGCTCATGATAGCTTGAGTCACTTCAGTTAAAACCTGAGGCTATAACTGTACCTCTGCCAGCATGCCATCAAAATTTTAAACATATCTGTTCTACATCATTTATGTCTCAGCCTTTCCCCAGCGTTTCAATCTTGTGTTCCTGGGTTTTTCATCATAATTTCGCCTGGAGCAAGACGCGGAGATGTCTCGGCCTACAACGCCCTCACATGGTTTTCATCTGGCAGAGGGAAGAATCTGTCCCATGACACATTTATCTTGTCTCCCTGTCAAGCCTCTCAGACAAAAGATTTGACATTAGCATAGCAGTTGGAGCTCCTATATTTATGCATCTCTTATCCATAATTAGCACACTTGAATTAGATCAAAGATAGAAAAATTAAATTAGAGTCAACCTAAAGGCGTCTTGGTCACAAAGAGACACTGAGCAAATCACCCTGTACACATACTGTAGCTGTTCATACATTAACTGTGTTAATCAGCAAAGCCACATGATAACACAGTGTGACTGTGCTTGACTGTCAAATGATGTCATCATTCCCAGTCCACCTGGAGCTATGGTTGAGGCTGTGAGGACTTTGCATGTGATCATCGACAATATAGGAAGGCTTTCATATTAGTGGCTCAGAGGGAGCTGTGTCTGTGAGGAGACATTACTGTATACTTAAAGGAGCTGTACACAAGTCGGAACACTAATATAGCGGCAAACCTCTGATTGCTATGTAAAGATATAGTGGCGTAACGGCGTCCTAAGCAGAGAATAATGTCACACTCCCTCTGTGT